AAACCACCAGAACCACCGCCAAAGAAACCACCAGACGAGGAGGACAGCGACGAAGAAGAAAAAAGATTCAAACTGACAAAAATGATAGAAATAATGCTACACAACGGCGCTACAGTAGCAGATGTAATATTAAACTTATCACATAGCGCAATTGCAACAACAATAAATATCGCAGATTTAGTTAATCAAATAACAGCAGGAAATGCACAAAGTAGCAGTAGCAATTCATCAAATGAAGCTATTAGTGTTCATAGTTCTCCACCTATTACTGTTCATAGTTCTTCATCTGAAAGTCCAACAGAAATACCAGCACCAACTGAAGACGAAGAAGAAGAAGACGGAGAAGAAAAACAAAAATATAATTTTGAAAAATTAAAATCTAAATAATATTATATATAATGGGTTCAAGTAAATCAAAACCAGTAGAAATTGATGATGAAGAGGCTATTAAAGTAATAAAAGATATAGATGTAAATACGATAAGTGAAATGTCAAGAATTGATATTCTACAAATAAATTCATTGAAAGCAATAATAAATAAATTAGAAAAAGTTAATGAATGTAAAAAAGATAAAACATATTATAAATTTCCTGCCTTAAATTTATGTAGCTATTCCTTATTCTAAATTGATAATATTAACATACATTAATATTATTAATTACTATCATAATCTGTCATTTCATCTTCTGGTAATTTTGTTGAGGCATTGCTACACATATCATCTATTAAATCTTCTTCATCAACAAAGTTATTTTGAAATCTTAATAATTCCTCGTCTGTTGGTCGTCTTTTTAACACTTTATAAAGTTTATGTATCCAAGAATTAGTATGAAAATTGTAATTACCTCTACGATAAAATCCACCACATCTACATAGTTTCATTAGCATATTATTATATTATATTAAATTAGAATATCTTTATTCATCATTTGTAATTTGAAATGCCTGTTCAAAACGGAGAAAAAACATGTCATTCACATTCTTAGCATTCATATTCACGTAGAAGAAACTATAAGGTGCGTCATTAACGGCTTGATGATACATATCTAATAATTGCTGTTTGTCAACAATGGCGCTATTTTCTTCAATAAAACTCATTAATTCACTGGCATTTTTCAACCTAAAAATATATAATGAACTGGCATTTAAACGAATGATAGGCGCCAACACATTATATTTCTGTGTTGAACAAATTACGCTTACTGCATCGTGCCTACCTCTTGTAAATAATCCATGTAATAATTTACTATATCTAACAAATTTAGGATCGTCGGCATGATCGTCTATAACGATTAATATTGAATGTAGTTTCTTTATCTTTTTAGATTTCATATAATTAATTATTTTCTTCTGTCTTTCAATTACATTTTCTAAATCACTTGGATTATAATTATCAAAATAAATTTGTTCTTTTTCATCATCCACGTGCAATTCATCCCTGATATATTTTTTAACTTCTGTAAAGGTTGGGTCATTATGAACGCTGGGGGAAAATATGAATATTCTTGCAAATGAATTTCTATAAACATTTAAGATAAGGTTCTGAACCAAGACTGTTTTGCCACCTGTCGAACTCGCAACTATAATACTTCAAAATGGTAATTTTGGCACGTGCTCATATTTGGATTGTTTGAATTCATATTCAGTTATGTTTATTGGTTTTATTATTGGAACATCTGACATAATAAAATAATATTAAAGTTATCTAGAAAATATTTTATATTTATTATTTTATATGAATAGAAGCTATTCAGATTATATTGATATAACAGATGAAGTAGAGAATATAGAACAAGTTGTTATAACTGATAATAGATGTAAAAAATATGTTATTTTATTTTAGAATTAATTAAGTTTGTGATACAATATATCAAAAATAAAAATGTAAATATTAATATAAATGGGAAGAAAGAAAAAGAATAAGACTGAACCAGTTGTTTCTTCAACTGATGAAGAAAAAGAAGAAGTTGTTAAAGAAACATCAGTTATTGAGTTTGCTTGTCCAATGTGTAAAAAGATGTTAGAAATGAAAAATGAATTAGAAATTCAAAAGAAAGGAAACTGTAAATGTTCGTGTATTCCGACAAGTTTCAAAATTAAGTAAAAATGATAAGAAAATGAATATTGATAAAACTAAAGACAGTATCAACTTAGAAACAGATGTTCATAATATTGCTATTCGCTTTGGGAGGGGAGTTACTCCATCCGAGAATGGCGATAAGGAAACACAGGAAACGATACGCGAAATGATGAAAAAATATATTTAAAATTATTTCTATTATTATTTATAATGCAAGATGTTATAAATAATATTCTTAAATTCATTGATGTAAAAGAATTGAAATTAAATAATTTTATTGAAGAATATAACGAAAATGATATATTAATTAATTTTCTTAATGACTTTAGAAATAGTAAAATTGATTTTAACATGTTTTATAATTCTATTAATTATGCTGATTTATTTGAACAATCAGATTTAAAATTTTATTGTAAAAGAATATATTCATATACTTTAAGATTTATTGCTAATTATGATAATAAAAATGCTATTCAGTTTTATGAAATTACATTGAGAAAAACGAATAATATTTACAAAAATAGTAACATTAATGTTGTTAATGTGTTTGAATGTATTAAATGTTTAATAATTTATATTACAGATAATATTGAAAAGTTTCATAAATATTCAAAATTTAGAAAAACTATTATTTGTAATTTAATTGGTAAATTGAATAATAATTTAACGAGTTACACAATAACTAATTTTGAATTGACTTATAATGATATATGATTTTGTAAAATAAAAGTTTAGTTTTAAAAGTTTTATTTTATAATATAATATATATATTTACATGGATGAAGGATTAGAAAAGATTGTTAAAAAACTGAACAAGGTTTTAGAACAGAATAAGAATATTTTAGAAATCTTGCAAGAAATGGAAAAGAAGAAACCTTTAACAAACAGTTATCAAAGTAAAGAAGTAGATAGAACCAATGGTGAAAATAAAAATAAAAGAATTATTTATTTAAACAAACTTAATAACAAAGAAATTAAAGAACCGAAGGCTTCAACTATGACATTTTATCAAATTGACTATGATGAAGATACGGGGGTTTATTCATAGATAATAATCCAACGACAAAACAGCATGTTTTTCTTGAAATTAGGTGGGGTTCCCCCTTTTTTGGGGCGACAGTTTATTTATATTATGTTATTATAATATAAATTAACATTGTAAAACTTTATAACCTTTCATTATACCATAGTTATACTCTATAAAATTTGTTTTTGTGTTTCTTTTTTAATGAATGAACATAACCTTGCCCATAATATTTCTACAAAATTTATGATAAAAATATTGTAAGACAATTTTTCATAATTTTTGGAATAATATTTTTGAAAATTTATTTTTTGAAAAATTACTTTTTTTTGAAAATATTATTTTTTATTTTTTTTGAAAATTTAGTTTTTGAATTATTATTTTTTGAAAATATTATTTTTTGAAAATATTACTTTTTTGAACAATATTATTTTTGTTTTTTTTTGTATGAATGAGCTTAACCTTGCCCATGCATCCTACCATCAATAACCATATCATATGAACCACCCTATACTTCTATTTCCCCACAAGCATCCTAACAATGACAAGAATGATGGAATAGAAAATGAGAAAATGTGACTTTTTTGATGGATTTTGAGGTTGAGACTGTTATGAAATGTTTTGAGTGGAAATATGCATAATGAATAAGGATGACGATTTGAATAGTGAAAAAATGGTTGAAAATGCTGTTCTTGCGTAGGGGGGGGGCTACGCTAGGATACCATAAAAAGATGGGCAAGGCCCACCCTAACTAACACGCAACCCCCTGGTTGTCGCTGTGGTTTTTTTTCAGGGGGGGGGGTTGTCCGCGTTCGGTTGTCGTTGTTGTTGTGTTTTTTTTTTTATTTTGGGGGGGGGGTGGTGGTGTCCGCGCTTGGTGGGGGCTTATCACCTTTGGAGGGGAATAAACCCCCCCAAACAAATGGGACGGCTTGATTCGTCCCTGGTCAGCTCTCATTTGTTTCTGCAGATGACCCATTGAAACAGCAGATTGTTAGAGGAATCGCCTTTTGGGGGCTATGGCAGCAGAAGGGGCGCAACTGTTCAGCAGATTCCGCCCTCCAAGTCGTGTGGCTTCCTGACTAAGAGTGGCAGTCAGCCCGCCAAACGGGGTTTGTTTCTTATGTCATGGTCTCTGCGCAAGTAGCCTTTGATGGCTTCATCTCCTCACAAGGTATTTGGACGCTTGCATAGCCATGGCTACAACTGGGTCAAATGAGGCCAGGCTAGCTATCTTTTTACAACGGTCATGTTCATAAGTGCTACTTGCCAAGTGGGCCGGACATCATTCAGCATCTAAGCAAGAGGGGATGGATACTTGGGGGTGGGCATGGTCATGACGGAGGTTGTGTCATGCCCTGGTCTCCAGGCGTTTCAAAGCGAAGACAAAATAGTTCCAGGGTAAACTATGAAGCTGTTGCAAAGCAAGCTTCGAACATATTCGAACATAGACTTGCAGCGCCCAAAGCAACGGGAGAGTGCGAATGGAGAGAGAAGGGAGGCCCTGTTGGAATGGTTGCTGGAGGCTTTCAAAGTCAGAAATAGTAGTGGTGACCAGTTGGTAGGGTTTGCATGTGTACTGAAGAAGCAAGCCATGCTTGGAGATTTTAACTGTGATCCCAAAATGGAAGGCCGCCGACATGAATCCAAGGCCGCCACTTTGCTTTGACAATCCGACCTTAGGATGGTTTGACGTGGGGCCATGTTTTCCCAACGGAAGCCGAGGGTCCCACGGCAAACCCCCGCTAGGGCGCGAGATCCAGGATTGGGAGGGTATTTTGTTTGTCTTTTCTTTGTTTCACGACCTTCTTTTGGTTCCGAATTTCTCTTAGGAAGCCATGGAAGGCCCCCATAAAAGTTTGTGCTTCTGGGGAATGCGGCAGCCAACGCCTGAGGAAATGGACCCTTCAGATCTTCAAGGAATTCGCGCAGCTTTGAGAGCGTGTCCCTTCTCCATTGGGAGCACGCCGGGCTTATACCCCCAAATGCAACCAAGCAGAGGCGGCGAGATCTTGCAAAGATATGCCCGGAACAGATATTTCTTGTGCAGGACCTTCTATATAGATCTTCTGCAAGGAGTTCCTGCACAGTACCTTCATGTTCCTCTTCGAAGTGTTTGGGGTCCCTTGCGAGTGCATTTTTGTTGAGGAAACTTCTTTTGGGGGACTGCCTTCTTGGGTTCCATGTCAAGTTGCAGAGGAGTAGTGCTAGCCAATACTCTCAGATTACTTGGATCAATGTCCGCTGTGTGACGACAAGGGGGGCCTTCACAACTTCCCCCCCTCGTCCGCCTGAGTCATCATCCCCTCACCAGGAACAGAAAGCCCTCCCCACCACCTCTTGGTCAGGCACCCCCCCGGACACAAGGCAAAACTTGAGCAAGCATCGCACTGCAATTTGTCGAAGATCTGGCCCGCCCTGCAAGAGAACCAACAGCACGGGCCCAAATAGCCAGCCTACTCAAACGGCTGAAGAAGTTCGGGAAATGGAACCTGACTTGAGCTTAGTTTTGCTGACCAAAAACGCCAAAGTCCTTTTCCAACAAGTACTAGCCCCCAGTCAGATCCTTTCGGCTCTCAATTGGCCCGGGTTTAGTCCTAAGCCCTTTGATCTCCAAATCCGGATTCGCGCGACCCAGTTATTTCCGGTTAAACTGTTATAAACCCCAGACCCCTAGTACACCTGGTGGACCCGATTGGAATCCCGCCGGCTTTGGTAGAGGCCAATCTGCTAAACCCAGTAACTCCCAGGAGGGCCAGGCGTTCATTACCCCATCACCCCATGTACCACCATTCATAGCTATGTCTTATTACACCATGCACTGCCAGGAAATCAAGACAGTGAACCTCGTAAACCACAGTGAGCCCCACTATGCCCAGCATCAGCAAAATCCAGCCAAACCCCAAACCCCAGTAAAATCCAACCCAGTATAGCCAGGTACTTGTCGCAATCCCCGAAGCCACGGTCCCAACGAGATTTCCAGGAGGTGCCACTTCCGCAGCGAACGGACCTCGGCGCCTTCTGCGCCGCCCTGCGGCGCCGCGCAGCGGGGCGCGGGGCTTGGGATTGTTTTGGCCTTCGCTGGCAGGCAGGGGGCGCGCGGCCCTCCAAGGACAGAGTTTCTCCAGGCTGTTGAGCCAATGGGAAAGCTGGTTTTTGCTCAAGGCAATCCACTAGCTACTTCTCCATTGGGCTATGACAGGTTGTCCCTTTCTGTGTGGTGGCCTTCACCTACCACTTGGCGGGTGACTTTCCCAACCGCCGCTTCGCCCAAAGGTGCCCTGGCGAGTTTTGAGTTTCGGCCTAGGCTGGCGACCGCGGACCTCACGAGCCTGGATTGACGACAAAAAGAGGGCTGACGGTCCCACGGGCTGACGCGGAGCGCCATGACATGCCCGTTGCAAGATCATGGCTACCGCAAAGGACCCGCCCATGTGGCCCCATTTGGTGATGGATTTGGAAAGAAAGCCAGATTCATTCCCATGCACTCGCAAGTCTTAGGGGTTTGGGTCCTTGACTGCGCTTGAATGCAGTCAAAGCCGCGGTTGATGGGCCTCACTTGGGCCTTAGCATGGCGAATGTTCTTGGTACGTGGCTCGAAGATTGCAGGATTTTCTCTGGATGCCGAACGCTCAATGCTTTTTGTTTGCTTAATTGCTTGGCGGGAGTTCCACTGAACTGGGCACTGGTGGAGGTTCCTTCTGTTGATTTCAGGGCTAGGTGGTTCAGTAGTGCCCTTTTGAACCCCTTTTTTGGTTGGGAGGGTCCCCCCTACAAAGACGAATCCGAAAAAAGATGGGTACCCTTACTCTAACCTCACTGCAAAAACCATAGACGTCCAGAACAAAAAATCGGGTACCAACTTATTCCTCGCAAAACTGGAAGACTTGGAGGGTTGTTTATCACCTCGTCTGTGGATGTGCACCGCAGGCCAAGTGCATCAGGCCCCCGTTGAGGCACCAGAGCAAAGGCCGCCTTCGTCTCGAAGCCATTTTGGGGCCAAACAGGAAGAGAGCAGCGTTCAATTGGGATGGAGCCTGGGAGTTCCACTTTCACGCCGAAAAGCCGAAAAAATCGCCTTGCAGGCGCCAGTCACAAGAGTCACCAGCGGAGATAAGCAGCGTCCAGGCACTGAACCCGAGCTGCGACGGGCAGCTTGCAGACTTTTGCGAGACGGGCTCCATCCCAAGTCAACCGCGCGTGGTGCCGTTTTTTCGGGCCTTCGCAGAACTGGAGATGCGCGTCACTTTGCCGGAGGCGAGCTGGGAGTTGCGAGCTGTTTTTCTTTCTGTGAGGTTGGGAAGGGCAAGGGGGATGTTGCTGGCTTCGTCGGGAGCGGAAATGTGATATTTAGTGGAAGTTCCAGAAACGGGGGTTCGAGATCAACTCATCAAGGTTGGCACTTATTGCCGACACTGAATCTGTTCTCTCCCGGAAATGAATGGTCTTCTCTTTGAACGGGGGTAGGCATCAACTCAGACAGCTAATCCTCTTACTCCCTTGAGGCCCTTTTGCAGCCTTGGGCCGAATTTGCGAGTCGTCCCACGCTGCAGAACCAGGCAACACCACTTTTTCGGGGCGGGTTTCACCTTCACCTTCACGCCCTTGGAGTTGTGGGACTTGATGCGAGGCCACGCACGCAGCCACGTGGGCTTGTCCCTTTTGGAGGGCCCCCTTCGCTGTGGGAAACCCCAAAGAAACCACCCTACGCGGGGGGGGAACCCCTAAGTTTGACATACCCGAATCGTGGGGTTCCGAAGTGGTGGGGTTTGATCCAGTCCTTGAGAGGCAGAAGCAGATTGCAGCTGCTTTTCGCCCGGCTGTGCCTGGCCTCAGAGGGGAGAGGCGGCGCTTTTCTACAGTTGGGTGCAAGTAGATGGCCCAATTCCCTGATTGTGGCTTAGTCCTCCCCTGTACTCACCTAAAGGGAACTGTGTCTACTTGCACCGGATCGATCCCTGGAGTAAACCTCGAAGCTGCTCAGCCTTCCCCGACGAAAAACAGGTTCTAGGCGAGCTCTGGGGTTAAATCCATCGCATGCATGCATGCGTGCATGCAGAATGAAGGTGTTTTACTAGAGGGTCCCCTGATTTCTGGTTTGGGAGTATTGCAATTTGCCCAGGGCCATCCACCCTATGAACCCAGGGCCATGTTGGGCTCCTGGTGAATGGGTAAACGAACCGCAGCCGCGGGTGGAGAATCATACCCAGGGATAAGCCTTGAAGTGTGAGTAGATGCTACTGATAGCGCCGCCTCTGATGGATTCCTTCCTTCCCTTTTGAAAAACACCCCAGAAACTTAGGTGTTTCGTGGGTCAGCGCAACCTGCGTGGGACTTCCCTGCTGAATCCTCAGCTTTTCTAGACACAGTTCTCTTTAGGTGAGTAAAGGGGAGAGGCTGAGCAGTTTCGAGGTTTACTCCAGGGATCGATTTGTTTTGCACAACCTCAAGCCCAGCGCTCTGCATGCAATCCAGGACCTCCGGTTTATGCGCAAGAAGCCCCTTGGGCCAACAAATGCTGACCCATGAGTTTAAAAAAAAAGTACGGGCCCCTCCAGGAAAACCTGCCGTAAGTCAAGTCACATAGGCGAAGCCCAGGAATTGGGGCGTGCGGTGTGCGTATTTGTGCTGCTGGCACTTGAGTGCACGCCCCTTTGTGTCCCCAAGAGAAGCAATGCAACAAACAAAACACCAAAAACATAAACGTCACATTTGAAACTGGGCCCCTTGCGTGAGACCGCGCGTAGCGTGAAGATGCGAGCGTGGGGTTGGGTGAGGTGAGGCCTGCCGCGGCAAGAAGGTCATCGACTCTTTGCTGGGTCAACTGGCAGGGCACGCAGTGCCTCAGATGGCAGAGGAGGGAACGCGGCTCGCGCTTTCGTCGTTTTGTTGGGGAACTTCTCTTGGCTGGCTGGAGGGACACCGAGAAAACAACATGTGGCCATTTTCGTGTTTCCCACCCCCCCCCCCCCCCCTCACCAATTTGGACAAGGACAAACGAGCGAGCGAGCCACTCAAAGGGGGGCGTTGAGTCGTTCGCCAGGCCCGGGCGTACAGCGCCGGGCAGGAGTTGCTGGCTTTGCGCCTCGTCTGCGTTGGGCGGTGCCGCGCCGGAGCCTCCACATTTTTTTGGGCCAAGGGCGTTATAAATAAGGGTTGGGGGGGGGGGGCGGGGGGGTCGATTTCACTCATAGTTCTGATCAATTCATGGAGCTCGCGATGGTAAAAATGATGTTTGACTTGAAGATCATTTGTTTCCAGGTTTGGGAATGATTGTGACAAATTGCAGATAGTGCGACTTCCCTTTTGACAGAACTTCAAGCCGGATGTTTTTGAAGCGGGGGAAGGAAGGGGGGCCATCCCCTGATCTGACCTTTCGCCGTCAAGCCGAAGGTGGCCACCTCACGTTAGGGCTGAGTCTGGAGGATTGGCATTTGGCCAAATCCTTGGGCTCGCTACGGTTGGTTTGCAGTCCCTACTGTGGATGGACGAAATCCATTTCGCACCACCTAAAAAACCATGGAATGATTCGATTCCCCTGCAAATACCAACGAACAATGGTTTCTCATGGTTTCCAAGTGGTGCAGGATTTCGTCCATCCACAGTATGGAGAGCTTGTGGGCACAAGCAAAAACGGCAACACCGCCACGAAAGGGCAGGTGCAGGTGGGGTGCACGGCCCACGACACGGGGCCAGCATGAGACCAGGGATCAGCATGTTGAATAAACCAGGGTTCCTTTTCGGGACGCTTCAAAATTAGCCTATCTGGGCGTAAAGTCAAGCAGGCTGGGCTGTTGCAAGGCAATTCGTCACAATTCCATTGGGCTACGGCGGGGAATCTTCTAGTGGTTTTTCATAAGTCGTTGCCCCCAAACAAATGCGCGGAGATTTCCCTTTTTGATGGATTTGAGGGTCCAGGTAGGCCTGTCGGTGGCATCAAGGGGATCACTCTCGGGATCCTGGAACATCGGGTTTGGCACTCCCATGTTCCATCCATGTCCCCAACCCACTTGGGCAAGCCGCGCGTTTTTGAGGACGCGCTTGAAAAGCGTTGGAATCAACGCAGTGGTGTGGCTTTCTTTCAGGGGACACTTTTGGGTGGGTTGCAAGGAACACCAAAAAGGACCGAAGCCATTTAACAGGCGATGAAGGAATCAGGAAGTCCAAGGAAAGACCTCCGTATTCCAGGGCTTCCTCCATTTACCTTTCTGATCGTCGCGGTTAACACCACCAGATTGCAACTTTTGAGGGGGAGCTCCAGTGACTCCCTCATTCATCTTGATGGAGCGCACCAAACAATATGGGTCTGTCTGTTTGTAGCTGGTACTCCCTTGAAACCACAAATTGGAAGGTAGAATAGGGGAACCCTCCAAAATGGTTGTGATTTCTTTTTGGCACCAATAGAGAATCAATCATTCCCTTGTGCTTACCGGCCGTTTCTTCATGTACCCCTGGTTCATTCCCCAGAATGAGTTCGGCAAACAAGATAATTTCTTGCTGGTGTCCTAATTCCAGCCTAGTTCGAGGATGCTGTGACACGCTCGGGTTGTCCTTGGGGTTTACTTCTGAGGCTCCGGCCAGCGCCGACGCAAGACTGGAGCTGGCACGTGCAAGGCTGGATGCAGCCAATACTCCAGACAGGGCTCGATCCTTAAAAGATACATGTTGCCCATTTGAAACATGGCTTTTTCCACCAACATACAGTGAAACCACCATTGACAGGGCAATGATCAGGTGTATAATGTAAGGATCCCTGCCCCCTGCGAAGTTACGTTTCGATCAGTTAGCAAACAAGTGAGCCCAGCATCAAATGTACCCCCTCAATGTTTGAGGCAACGTTTTTTTTCGTTGTTGTTTTTCTTTCCGCTGAGCAGCTTAGCCACCAACTGTACCCCCTCAATGTTTGAGGTGGTGGCCCTGTTCACCGGGTTTTTCCCGTTGGGGAATATGGTCAGACTTGAGGCCCTCGCGCAACGGTCTTGCTACAACTCCGCTATGATGTCGTTCGCGAACTACCCTTTGTGCTGGAAAAATGGTTTCCCAAAAACGTAACTCTTCACTGAAGCTGGGGGCGCTCTTGGTATGGCTGGGCTCGTGCTGTCTATGGCTGAAGTGGAATTTTATTGGCTCTCGTCACCCTTAGCTTGCAGGAGCCAACTGTTCATCCCAGCCATAAAACACTGGCAAGAGTGTTGCAAAAGAACAGCTCTCCTTCAGACAAGTTGCGCTGCAGACACATACGAATTGCGAACGGCAACCACAACTCAGCAGCTCACCTGCTGCATGCTGACGGAGTAAAACATCCAACCAGCAGCACCGCTCTTACAGGGCGTGTTTGATTGCGCGGCGGTTTGCACAAGTTGGAACGATCAATGTAATTGTTCCCTTGGTTCCTCATTTCCACATTGGTATGTGTTATGAGGATGTCACTGTGTATGTGTGGCATGTGTTGCCAAATAAAAGGTTTGCTAGAGGAAGCAGGCACATGTTCTTTTGAGCATTTTGGAATCTCTATGTCTGCGCACCTTTATATACACATGAGTATTCACACATATATGCATTGTACGTATATCAGTACATACGTATAGACCATTATATACCTATATAGGCATAACACACACACATATATAAAAATATACCAAGACCCTCCAGGTGTGCATTTGTTCTGCCGCCTTCTAACAAAAACAATATGTTGCCTCGTTTGTTCCAAACAAACATATATTTCGGCAAATGTCGCTTTTGGTCGGGGAATGTCGCTTTTGGGTCGGGCAACGTCGCCTTTTCATCTTCATCCTGATTTCGCAAAACAGCTAAATTCACAAAAATGCACTGAGGCAAAAAACATGTGCCATTTGCACCAAAAGGAGCCGTTGGCCCAAACAGCACAAAACATGCACACTTAGGAGGGCCCAGGTATGTTTTCGGACATGTTCACATTGGGCTTGGCTTCTTTAAAGTGAGGGCTGAGCAGACCGAGTAACGTCGTTCCGGCCAACTCCAGCAACATGCAAAGTCCCTTTGATCAGGGGTCACTGGATTTCCCCTTCAAAAGTTTATCAATTTACTGGGGGTGTTCACCGAAACAATCGCCACTTTGGAGTTTCCAAAAAGGGACGTGCTGGAAACCCTTATGATCCTTTTCGATCACATCTTTGTGGTGCGTGCACGGCGCAATGTGGGCCTTGGAACTTTTGGACACCGGCTAGCAAAAAAGCATTTGCTTTTTGCAGGCGTTCAAGACTCAGGCCAGAGGTCAAGCCCAGGGCGAGGCCAAGGCAGCGATAGCATCACATGCTCTTTCTGCTGCAGGTGAGTTAAGACAAACCCCTGTAAACTTGGTGGTTCCCAGCCATCCGGTTCCTTAGCTTTTTAGCCTTGTGTTTAGCGGTAGTTTCCATTTCGCCCACCAAAAGTTAGTCACTTTTAGCGGGGGATCTGAAAACGGACAGCCCAGTAAACCTGCCGTTTTGAACCCATGCAGTGCAGAGGTGTGGAAGCGGAACCTGGTGCGGACCCCGCTTATGACTACACCTGCGACTACCCAGCGACCCAGTTGCACATTGGAGTGAAGAACGCTTTTTGCTCCCTCCAGTTTCTGATCGGCCAAAACGGGGGGGGGGGGGGCAAGTCCTTCTTCATATGGGTTCCTTTGCATTTGTTCAGCGAAAAGCAAACCACCGGTAAACTGGGCAAGCCCTTGTGATGGGGATCTGCTTTAAATAGGGAAAATCACCCCCACAAACCGTATGCCAAGGAGACCTGGACCGACGACAGCACCTCCGAGCAGTGACCTGGACGAAGGTACCGAAACAGAAGGGCTCTTTTAAGCGCCCGTCTTTGGCGCTTTGAAGTGGGCCCTCTGGGAGCCAAATGGATATGTGTTTGTTTGCCCAGCCCTTTAACCATAGTTTTTGGGTTTCCCATTTTCAACAGGAAGTGAGGTTTGGTGTAATCCGATCAACTGGGTGCCTATGACCTTGGAATTCATCCGGCTGTGGTTGACAATGCAAATTTCATCTCAAGAGGCATTGTCAAAGGCATGACTGGGGGCATAAATGCAGCCAGTAGTTGGCAGTGTCTCAGGATGAGCTGGTCTGTTTTTGGCAAAGGATGGCACACTGACGGATCGTTGATGTTGCTAAGGCACCTGGTTTCATGTTGGTCGAGGAGTATGTAAGGGCCAGTTTCACAGCTACCAATTCACCAGGTGGCATGCAAAGCTGGAAATCCAAAGAAGATGTCATGCATGGTTTCCGGCATGGCCCCAAAAACGCCCGTGCACTGAAGTGGCAGACCCTTTTAGGCCATGGCTTCCTAGGAAACACCTGCGGGGCTAGCAGCCGCAGAGCGTCCAAGTCTGAGGTTGACCAGCGACGAGACCTTGATTGGCCCTGATGGAGCAGTCTACGACGTGTTCTATCCCTCAGGGCCCGACGAGAAGGAGATGCCTGTGCATTTATGTAGTGTCCCTCAAGGGATACACTTGGGCGGTTGGAAGATCAGCTACAGACTAGCTGTTTTAGAGGTTCCCCTTTTAAAGCAGGTGGTGTTTGGATGTATCCCCAGTGAGCGCCTACCGTTTGGTGAGGTCTATTTGAAGTCATGCAGTTGAACACAAATACATATGCATATGTCATTGTCTGACATGGTCACAACATCGGGGGTGCCTCACATGCATGGATACATGATTGTATACTGTTTGAGCTTGCTCTTGTTGTTGAGATTCGTTATTCCAGATGCAAACCAATCGTTTCCGTATCCCCCTTCGGGCAAGTTGGCGACTGTACCATGACGAAGATGGCTTTCTTCGGGCTTATTCTGATTGCGTGATATTGCGTGTATGTATACCAATCACTCAGATATGCACTTGGTGTATGTGTCTAACTTGTTTTATGACTTGTACGCATATGTTCTCAAGCCAAAGCAAAGCCAGAGCCGCGAGGAGGAGACATCCACCACCTGCAGTGATGTGGGAGGCGCAGCTGAGAATTGGCGAAAATGACAGCGAGCCACTTCTCTCTCTCTCTCTCTCATGTTGGTAGCAAGCAAGCGAGACACATGGCATTCCTTTCACCCACCAGGTGAGTTTGCACAATCCCAAGTTGACAGATTGCAGATAGCAGGTAAACCCAATTGTTGCTTCCGAACCCCCCCCCCCCCCCCGCTGTAGCCGCCACTCTTGAGCAAGAAGTGCCCAAGTCAGCAGCGCAAGTCGGATCCATTTGGACAAACGAAATCAGGGCTAAAACGAGCTCGCGCAATGATGGCGGTTCTTGACGTGGGGGGGGGGGTTTTCTTATGGCCAGTGGGAATTATAGCGATTTGCTTAGGTTCATTGAAGATTGGCTGTTGCAAGCGGTTCCTATACTTGTTGATGCTGTGTGCCAGGGTTTTGGAGCAAAATTGCTTAGTTGCCACGGAAACCCGGAACACAGCTTTAGGCTAGCTTGCTATAGGTAGGCTGGCAGGACCTGGGCATTCGGAATCCGTAAAGACACCAGCTTGATTCACAAGAAGGGTTGGCTCTCAAATTACCCAGGTTGATTGATCCGTCAGCAGGTGATGTGCAGTCATACTGGGCTAGCAAGGGTCACGGTTCGTCACGCATCTTGGCGTGTTGCTCCAAATGTGGAGGCGCGATAAGACGCGCTTCTGCATTTCTATGAAGATACCTGGGACATGATGCCACCCCGGAAGGACCCTTGGCCGATCCAGCGCCTTGGTTATAAACAGCTGGATTCTGGTTTGTTTAACAGCTGGTGGTGGACAGGCCGGGGTTCTGAAGTTTCGCTATGTCGAAATGATTCCCCTTTTTCTTGACTGGTATTGGGTTGGATCTCTAGACTTTCCAAACCTTTGTGGGAAATCCAGAAATTTTCCACTAAACCCCCACAAAGGGGGGTCAAGAGCAGCCAAGTTTTCGGCGTCCCGTTTTCGGCCAGAGCCCACGTCGATCGACCCGCCGCCCGCCGCGCCGCACGCAGGCAGCCCGGTCCCGATGTCCCGGCAGAGATCGGCAGAGGTCGGCATCGAAGGCGGGGCCGGGGGGGTAGTTTGGAGCGTTGGGCGCAGGCGTTCGGTTTTGATTTTTTTCGACTCGGGTTTGGATTTGGATTTTTCCCACTCCGGCCCATTTTTGGCCAGGACCCCAAAAGGATAACAGGTTTGTTTCTGGGTCTTTGGGCAACCGAGGGTGGGCTCCGTCGACAAGTGGTGGGGTGTTTAGGCTCTGCCGCAATGTAAGGCAAAGCATCAGGGAACTGGCACCCATGCTTTCAGCTCGCGTCCGTTGAAATCCCCTTCAAATGTCCTTCCAGTGCGGAAGGTAGCGTTTGTCGAGACGGGGGCTCCTGGACACCAGTGGCCTTTCTTGCTGGCACCCGTCCTCAAAAGCCATTATCCTTATTGTTATTATTGGGGCGCGAGCTCCTTGTTCTTGCTCCATGCCCAGTGGAAGTAACCGGCTATCCCTTTCAACACGTGATCCTTGAAATCACCATTGCCCCCCCGCCCCCGCATTCAGCAAAACAAGTCGCTCAGCCCCTTCCTTTTTCTGGCACCCTACTCTTGTTTGTCTTTTTAGCCCTTCACTAGCCTCAGGCACCACCCCCGCCCCCCCAAAACCCAAAAACTAGCCTCTCGTTTTTCGGCCTCAGGCGCCCCCGCCCCAAAACCGAAAAAAACCCAAAGCAAGCCGCTGGCCTCGAGCCGGAGGCATCGTGGACTTCATGCGCACCGCCACCAAGGCGCGGTACCCCTCCCGCGTGCGGCTCTACAAGCTGGTGCACAGCCCGGGCCTTGGGTTGAGCGGTGGGGCGGGCGGTGGGCGGGCGGGCGGCGGGGGGCAGGGGGGGGGGGGCGGTCAGGGGGGTTGGTTGGTTTTGGTTGGTTGGTTGGTTGGTGGTGGGTGGGTGGGTGGGTGGGTGGGTGGGTGTGGGTGGGTGGTGGGTGGGTGGGTTGGGTGGTTGGTTGGGTGGTTTGTTGGTTGGTTGGTGGGTTGGTGGTTGGTGGTTGGTGGGTTGGTGGGTTGGTGGGTTGGTGGGTTGGTGGTTGGTGGTTGGTGGGTTGGTGGGTTGGTGGGTTGGTGGTTTGGGTTGGTGGGTGGTGGTGGGTGGTTGGGTTGGTGGGTGGTGGTTTGGTGTTGGTGGGTGGGTTGGTGGGTTGGTGGTGGGTTGGTGGGTTGGTGGGTTGGTGGGTTGGTGGGTTGGTGGTGGTTGGTGGGGGGTCTGGGTTTTGGTGGGTTGGTGGGTTGGTGGGTTGGTGGGTTGAGTTGGTGGGTTGGTGGGTTGGTGGGTTGGTGGGTTGGTGGGTTGGTGGGTTGGTGGTTGGTTGGTGGGTTGGTGGGTTGGTGGGTTGGTGGGTTGGTGGGTTGGTGGGTTGGTGGGTTGGTGGGTTGGTGGGTTGGTGGGTTGGTGGGTTGGTGGGTTGGTGGGTTGGTGGGTTGGTGGGTTGGTGGGTTGGTGGGTTGGTGGGTTGGTGGGTTGGTGGGTTGGTGGGTTGGTGGGTTGGTGGGTTGGTGGGTTGGTGGGTTGGTGGGTTGGTGGGTTGGTGGGTTGGTGTTGGTGGGTTGGTGGGTTGGTGGGTTGGTGGGTTGGTGGGTTGGTGGGTTGGTGGGTTGGTGGGTTGGTGGGTTGGTGGGTTGGTTAGTTGGTGGGTTGGTGGGTTGGTGGGTTGGTTTGGTTGGTTGGTTGGTTGGTTGGTTGGTTGGTTGGTTGGTTGGTTGGTTGGTTGGTTGGGGGAGGCCTGCCTTTGTGTTGCTTTCGTGATTGTTGTGCTTTGCTTTTATGTTGCTTCTGCGTGGCGTGGCTAATGCCAATCCCGGCTGAGGTGCGGCACAGTCCGCACTGGCAGAACACTTCGAGAGGTGCGCCTCGGTTGGGGGGGGAGGGTTCTCCGAGGCCGGACCCTCCCATCAACTAACATGGAAACGCGCAAACACCCTTTTCAAGAGCAAAGTAGTCTTTCTATGCGGTCTGTGCGCTTTCATGTTAGTTGGTGAGAGGGTACTTGGGGCTTGAAGTCATGGCCCTTTGCCTTTAATATTGACGCCATATTACTCAACCCCTGTTTATTCATGAGGGGGTGTCCCTGGGTTTAGTGGGTTCATCACTTTTGGAGCGGAAAAAGAGCGCGCCTGCAACAGGAAGTCACAGTCAACCTGGGCTGAGTGGGAGAAGGTGTAAGCAAGGAAGACGGGAGAAGTGGCGACGGGCCACTTGTGAGTTTGGGAACATTTGGTGATCAGCCATTGTCTGTCAGTGGCCAAAGGAAACAACACTTTATCATGAAACCGATCCGGGGGGGTGAAACAAAAAGGGGTCAGTTGGAGGTGAAGTCCTCATACGGCAGACTGACATGAGGCCAACACGGAGGGACCACTAGCTTCGACGGACTGTTCAACCTTGGAAGGGCGCCCATGAGGAAACTTGAGGCGCCAGGGTTTTTCTGCGACTGAAAATGCATGGCGACACATATCCCCCGCAGACATTAGCCTAAAATATCATGAACTTTATGCAAGACCGCTTTCTGGTGCTCATGTTTGTTTGCACATCACTGAAAGTGTGGGATTCCTTTGCGGGCTATGGCGACTCGGTTGGATCTTGGGATTTTAACTGAACGCTATGGGGTCTCTGCCAAGGTATGCTCTGGCGTAGTTTGGTGCAGCTTTCAGGGAGGGTTCCGGAGGGTTGGGGTTCTGGGCCTTCATTGCAGGATGGCTTTGATCGGCAGCACAGCGCTTCGGATCGACACCCCGGATTCCGACCTGGATGTGGTGGTTTACACACGTGCCGCGGATGAACAAGCATAGATACGTCCTTTGTGTCCAGCTTAGTTGAGAATCTATTGGGCCCTGGTAGGAATTGCCCATCTATTTCCCCAAAGGACGCCTATGATACCGAGGCGTTTGGTTTTGCTCGTTGCTTCGTGGCATCGGGTCTTTTTGCGCTACCAGCCGGGCCCGGTGGTTTCGGGCTCCAAGCTCCGGCAAGCAATGCGCATGTCACGGATTCGGAGCCGGGCACGAGAGGTGAGGTGAGGCATCTTCCAAGGTTCACTTCATGGTGAGTCTTACCTGCGGGAAGTCGCCCCAAAAATACGGGGGCCATGACCAATGTTCGAAATTCCGGTGGGTTCTTCACAAGAAAAGCCACCAACAACGGCCTGAAGGGGAACTCCGAACTTGAGGCCTGGAGCGGCCCCCGTGCAGCTCCAGCCGGTTTTGACCGCCAGTTGGGTGTGTCTTGCTTGGTACCCATGTTTGGATTGTTTAGTGATGCTACTGGACAACCGCACACTTTTGTGGTTCCACTAGTTTGAGATGAGCACTTTCCTCGGGCACCGGCCCAGCCCGGCAGCCCGCATCACTACACTTTGATACTTGATGTCACAGGGCCCAACACTTCCATAGAGAATTTGAGCCTGTAGTTTTACACTTAGATCTTCTTAGCCATTCAAAGTCAGCTTCAAAAGTCACCGCTCGCGTTGTCTTTCTCGGCTCCGAGCAGTGCTTTGAGCCCTCGGCACGGTGATCGCTCCCATCATGGCCTTTCGACTGACATATCGGCGGCACTGCCGCTACAACACCAAGTCCAACAAGCAGCCCCTGGGCAGCGGTTTCGGTGGGCAGGTCAGGATGCCTGATGTGTAGGGCTAACATGAGAGGGGTGAAACTAGGTTTAGAGGATTCTGTCGGGTGCCCTCATTTGTTTTAATTGTTGGATTGTTGTCAAGCATTTGTTCACCCCTTTGTTGGCCCCACTGCTTTGGGGTGGTTTCAGGATGGTCGTCCAATCCTCCAACAAACATCATGGAAGTGTACAGACGTCCTTTCCTTTTTTATTTTAAGAGGTCTGCGAATTGTGTTGTTGTTGGTAGGCTGTGCTTCCAAGCAGTCAGTGAGACTTAAACAAGCCGAGGCGGGTGGTGAAGACCCCCGGAGGGCGAGCCGTCTTCCAGACCCTCAAAAAGAAAGCGAAAGGCCCCGCCTGCGGCGACTGCCGCCTGGCGAAGAAACTCTGGCGATGTGTGCGGAAGCTTCCGGCATGTGGCTTTGTGTGTTTGTGTGTGTTTGTGTGTCTGCTGGCTGGCTGGCTGGCTGGCTGGCTGGCTGGCTGGCTGGCTTGTTTATTTGTTTGTTTGATTCATTGTTTGATTGTTTGATTGTTTGTTTGATTGTTTGATTCATTATTTGATTGTTTGTGTGTTTGCGTGTTTGTTTGTTTGTTTGTTTGTTTGTTTGATTTATTGTTTGTTTGTTTGCTTCGCATTGTTTGATTGTTTCTTTGTTCGTGTATTTTGTCTTGTTTCTTGGTTAGTTTGTTTGTGTGGTTCTTTCTTTATTATTTATTTCTTTCTTTCTTTCTTTCTTTGTTTCTTTCTTTCTTTATTACGTTATTACTTTGCTTCTTTTCTTGCCTGTTCATCAGTTGTTTATTTATTTATGTGGTTTGTTGTTGTTGTTTGTTTGTGTCTTTCTTTCTTTGTTTGTTTATTTGTTTCTTTGTTTGTTTATTTGTTCCTTTGTTTGTTTATGTGTTTCTTTGTTTGCTTGTTTGTTTGATGGCTTGTTTGATGGCTTGTTTGTTTGTTTGTTTGTTTGTGTGTTTGTTTCTTTCTTTGTTTGTCTATTTTTTCATTTCCTTGTTGTTTGTGTCTATGGTTTTTTGTTTGCTTGTTTTATTTCTGTTTGTTCTCTTTTTATGTATTTGTTGTTTTATTTATTTCTTTCTTTGTTTGTTTGTTTGTTCTTTGTTTTCTTTGATTGCCAGCTTGTTTGTTTTTGTTTGCTTGTTTTCTCTCTTTGTTTCTTTGTTTGCTTCTCTGTGTTGTCTTTGTTTCTTTGTTTGCTTGTTTGGTTGTTTCTTTCTGTCTTGTTTCTTTGTCTGCTTGATTGTTTGTTTAATTGATTAGTTGGTTGGTTGGTTGGTGTTTGTTCGTTTTTCGGTGTCTGTGTGTGTTGTTGCAGTTGTCTGTTTGCGTGCTTGGGCGTTTGTTTTTTGTTGTTTGTTGTTGTCTGTGTGTGTGTTTGTGTGTTTGTGTTTGGGTTTGCTTGCTTGCTTGCTTGGTTGGTTGGTTGCTTGGTTGGTTGGTTGACTGGTGGTTGGTTGGTTCTTTCTTTGTTTGTGTATTTGTGGGGTTGTGGGATTGCGTGTCTGGGTGTCTTGCTTGTTTGCGTCCTTGTCTTGTGGTTTCGTTGTGTTGGGTTTGTTTGTTTGTTTGTTTGTTTGTTTGTGTGTGTGTGTTTTGTTTGTTTTGTTTTGTTTGTTTGTTTGTTTGTTTGTTTGTTTGTTTGTTTGTTTGTTTGTTTGTGTATTTGTTTGCTTTTGGTTTTTGTTTCTTTGTTTGTGTGTGTGTTTGATTCTGCGTATGGTCTTGTTTACGTCATTGTTTGATTTGTTTGCCTGGCGGTTTGTTTCTTTGTTTGTTCGTCCGTTTGTTCCTTTGTTCGTTTGGTGATTTATGTGTTTGTGTGTGTGTCGGCTTGCTTGCTTGCTTGCTTGCTTGCTTGCTTGCTTGCTTGCTTGCTTGCTTGCTTGCTTGTTTGATTGTTCCATTGCTTGGTTTTTTGATTGGTTGGTCGTTGTTGTTGTTGTTTTTTGTTGCTGTGTTGTTTGCTTGCTTGCTTGCTTGCTTGCTTGCTTGCTTGCTTGTTTGCTTGCTTGCTTGCTTGCTTGCTTGTTTGTTTGTTTGTTTGTGTGTTTGTGTGTGTGTGTGTGTTTGCTTGCTTGCTTGCTTGCTTAATTGCTTGCTTGCTTGTTTGTTTGTTGGTTTGTGTGTTAGTTTGTTTGTCTGTTTGTGTGATTGTGCATTTGTTTGTATTTTTGGCTGTTTCCGTGTCTGTTGGTTTGGGTGTGTCTCTGTCGTTGTGTTTTAGTTTGTTTGATCGTTGTTTGACTGGTTTGTTTGTTGTTTGTGGGCTGTTTGTTTGTTTATGTGTCTGTTTGCTTGCTGTTTGTTTGTGTGTTTGCGTGCTGGCGCTTGTCTTGTGTTTGTGTTTGCGTGTGTGTGTGTGTGTGTGTGTTTCTTTTGTTTGTTTGTTGTGTCTTGTTTGTTTGTTTGTTTGCTTTGTTTGTCTGTTTGTTTGTTTGTTTGCTTCTTTGTTTGTTTGCTTGTTCTGTCGCCTGGTCGGTTGTTACATTGATTCGTGTTTGTATGTGTGTATGGTTGATTGCTTGCTCGCTCGCGCTTGCTTGTTTGTTTGTTTGTTGGTTGGTTGGTTTGTTTGTTTGTCTTTTGTTGTCTTGCTTTGTGTTTCAGGAGTTGTGTTGTTTTGTGTTGTCATTTGTTAGTTTGTGATTGCTTGTAAGCAGGGCACATCAAACCAGACACGGGAACACGCAAACAACCAAACAAACACACAAACAAACAAACACACGACCAAGCAGACACAGCAAGCAAGCAATCAAGCAAACGAACAAGCAAACAAACCCGGAGTGCAAATGCTTGCTTCCCTGCTTATGGCAGCAAAAGACCTGAGCGAGTAAGCATAGAATTGGTAGATGGGTGGGGAGCTTGAATGCTCCACTTCTGAGAGCATGGTTGCGATATCCCGCGGGGAACCCTGTGGTCATGGCATGTCGCGGCTGGATGGGAACCACTTTGGTGTCACAGGAAGGGAATGTGACACAACCTGCTTAACAGGCTTATCCATACAGACCGGGGGAAACTGGCACCGGGGCAGGTATCTAGGTGGGGTACCCTCCCTCTAACCAACATAGCACCAGACATGGGGTCCCTTGAAGAGGAAACCAATCTTCCAGGTACCCTCCCAGAGGTGTCATGTTAGTGGAAGGGAGGGTACACTTATTTGGGGGGCTGACCAAATCCAATGAGATGGGCCTCGAGGTGGCAAGCGGCTCATCGGCTTGCCTTGTTTGCGGCCCGTGGAATATCGCAGGCCGGGTCCGTTGCTGGACCTGTTTGAGAGGTCTGCCGGGGCAACAAGTGGGTATGGGTCGAAATTAAACCACCAGGAAACCGCAGGTTTTAGTCCTTGGTTCCATTTACCAGGGCTCCATTTAGGGTACCTATTTTTGACCCACAGCCAAGTCACGAAACCCTGCAGGCCCGCTATAGGCCCCTAGACCCATGGGGCTTGGTAAGCCGCACTAAGGCTATTTGTTGGCTTTCCTGTGCTTAGGGAGACGCCTGCATAAATTTGGATTCGACAGAGGGTAACCCGAGCTTCAGCAAGTTGACATGCGGACTTGCTTTAGGACCTGGGGGACGGGGTCATAGGTTTGCTGGAGCCATTGAATCAGGCATCCCGGTCCTAGCACACGCCCCCAGTCCCAAAGGTCCCCAAGCTGCAGTAGTGCCTGGGTACTGCCACGGAAAAGGGTTTACCTTTTGATCCTGTCAAGGGGCAAGGAGGAAACAACGCACAAACAGGCGGGACACCGTTTATTGTCAGTCAAAAGGGTGTCAAAGGGCAAACACCCCCACCCAAACCCCAAACCACACCAATATCCCAACCCCCGCCTTCAACCCGCCAGCACGCTATGCATTTTGCCGCCAGGCTTAAGAAGCGCGAGAAGCACGTGAACCGAGCCTATGGCGGTTCTCGCTGCGCGACGCTGGGCGGAAGTGAATCAGTCTTCCGGTTCCATGTCCTTAGACTAACTTCACGGCTGGCATGCGCTATTTTGGTTTCACCCTTGCACCAAGTATCATGGAACCTGACCTTCGGGGGGCCCTTGAAAGGAACATGGTCCAAGAGTCCAAGCCAGCCCGAACGGTTTCCAGGTTCCATATTATTTAGGGTATGTTTGCCCGAACGGTTTCCAGATTCCATGTTAGTTGTTTGGTGCATTCTTAGCGGCCAGAAAAGCAAAGTGCCGCCATACCAAGGCTTGGGAAGGCGAGCCGATTTTTGTCGGGTGGTGTAACGAGGGTGCGTTCTCTGCAAGCCACCATTTGGAGTTACTTCCATTTGCTTAAGCACGTGGTTTATTTCCCCCTGGTGGTTTTAAAGGGAATCTATGACTACTGGAGTTTTGTTTTTCCCAGGGGGCTTAAGCAAATGAAAGGTTACAGATTGCTTTTGAGGATGCCATGTGAATGGACGCAGTCATGGCGCAGTTGAAATCTGGGTGCTAGATGGCTTAGCCGGCTCAGTTGATTCCGTGGAAGCTTGCCATTGTAAATGGCACCAAATCTTCCAAACGAGCCCTTGGAAGTTCATGTTAGCCTGGGGGACGGGGTAGCGCATTGTTATGCTCCCTCAAGGAAACTACCAGGCGACGGATGATGTGTGACTTTTCTAGACCGCTTTTTTTGAACCCCGTAGATTTATATGAGCGCGCTGTTGCTTGTGTGGCCCCAGGTGTGGCCATGGGTTCGGCGCATGGGTTCCAAAATCACAGGCCCTGGAACCCTGGCGTGCCACTTGGCCCCACTTGGCCCCCTACAAAAGAACACGAAGCCGAGCGGCGAAGCTCGAAGTGCGCCAAAGACACAAAGCCCCGAGGTCATAACCAAGAAATGCCTGATTCTTCCTTGATGGCAAGCATGAAGGTCTCCCCTCCAAAAGGTGTCAGGTGTCTTTTCAACCTGGGGTTGGGAAGCTGAGCCTTGTCTGGCGGGACCATAAGCAAGCCGTTCATCTTTCCGGAAAATGCTAACGGCAAGCAAAACGAAGCTGTCGAACGACTTTGTATGCAGTGCAAAAGAAGCGGACTTTGCCATCAGTTAAGTGGCATACCCTTCCAATAAGCCCCCATGCTGTTTATCCATGGTCCGTTTGAGAGTCCACGTTCCCAACAAGTTGTCCCTTAGCCTTGTGTTTCATCGTTTGGCCCTGAGGCTTACTTATTTTGTTGGCCCGCGCCATCAAGACGTCCTTGGGTTCCCAATGTTTTCCATGTTGGGGGCCTCGCTGGGCCCGCTTCACCTGCCGCGAGGACGTGCGTTCGCACCCGCATTGTGCGCGCCTTCCTCATCGAGGAGCAGAAATGCGTGAAACAAGTCCTGATGGAGAAGCTGTCGCAAGCAAAGGAGAAGGACGGCAAGAAGGGCAAGAAGAAGTAGACCTAGTTGACAGCATGACCTGCGCGCTGGGAGCAAAAACGTGTGCACGGGGAACTGCTGCTTTCAGTGTTTCAGTGGTGAGACAGGGCATAAAGGGCATTAGAGAGCCCGGAGTAATAGACCCCTAGTTGACTACTAGGAGCGTGCAAGCGAACTGAGAGGACATCCTTTCACATTTCAGGAAAATGAAAGCAACTGCAAAATTCACCAGATTTTACTTCCATCCGGGTTCGACTTGGTTGCTGTGCAGCAAAGGCAACGAGTGCGCCCTATGGTTTTGGCCGACATGTGGCTGGCCACAGTTGGCACATTTCGCTACTCAGAAGCTGCACACAACGGATATACCCTCGAAAACGAGCGCGGAAGCACGCAAGACAACTTTGGAGAAACGTCGTTTCACAGATCAGCCCCAATTTGGTCAGCTATACTATTGGGTTGCATGATATGGGCCTTGTTAATCACCGTGCAAAGGCGCTGCAGTGAGCTTATGCATGCCTTTGCAGTTTGCACCCGTGGACCAAAAAGAAGGGGCCTGGTCACTGCCGGCTTAATGGCACCGGACCAGCGTCCGTTCTGGTTTTTCTCTCTCAACTGAACCCTTTGATCTTGGGCATTTGTGACAGACATTGGGCTTTGAAAAAGCCAAAAGGGGGGGGGGTGCAAAAGTGCCATGGACACTTAGAAAATCTTAGAAACCAAGAAAGTGGCTGCAGGGCCGGAGGGAGTCCATCACAGGCGCCGGGGGGGGGGGGGCGGAGGTTCTTCGCATCTGAGGCGCTGAGGAGCCTTTGAACCCTGTGGAGGCCTTGCGGAAGATCACGGAGGTGCTGAAGAGCGAGGAGGTGGCTGGCTGGGTGGGTCCGTTTGGCGTGCTCTTGTTGTTTGAAACAACTAGGTCCCCCAGTAGTGCCCTTTTACCAACTTTTTGGAGGGAGGGTTCCCCTACTACAAGATACTAAATAGACCACAGAAAAAGGGTACCGTTATTCCAGTCTCTCTACCGCAGGACCTGGGCAAAAATGGCATGGGGTGAACCAGGTGTGAGACAAAGAGAAAGAGATGTTAGATTATGGCGGCACAGCTGCAGTTGCTAGATATATATATATATATATATATATATTCGCACATGTCCAGTGTCACGAAGCGCACTTCTCCGAAACCAGGCTCGGGCATTTTCCCCGTGGGTTGGGGAAGGGCAACTTGTCAGAGAAGGATCGCTGGAGAGAGAGTTTGGAGGGCTGTGGTATTTCGGCTTGTGAAGGCCAGCATTCAATGGCTTGATTCCATCCTGGGCCTTGCGGTGCCTGATTGACCACTAGGCGTCAGGCATATGCCAAAGACTGAGGGCAGCACTCTCCCAGCATGGAAGTGCCACAAGCCATGTTTTCCACTGAGAGGGCTGCCAGCTTTTCCAAGCACACTTTGAGGAAGGCTAGCAACCGGAGGTATTGAAGCCGATGGGCAAACTGCTTCACCGATTGGTATGAATGAAGCCCTTTGAGTACTGATTCGTAACCCACAACTCAATGCAACGGGAATGTGGGGAGGCCCCCCAATGCCCCAAAACCCAGAGGGCTGGTGGTGGTTTAAGACTTTCAGCTTCTCGCTGGTGGCACTTTTCAGGATTTGAAGCTGCAACTGGTGGACTGCGCGCGAGTGCCGGTGCTAACAGTGCTGCTCCTTCCGCTGAACATGGGGGCCTGGGGAGGAAGGGGGGATTGGCACGGACACTGAGGCTCTCTCAAATGGAGGAGCCAGCCTGACTTTTGAAATGTTGGCTGGGATCTCTTTTGAAAGTATTTGTCATTTTGAGGTTCCCGAATCAACAAAAATACGTTTGGAGAGGGATGTTGGCGGCAGTTGAGGTAGTGGAGGTGCTTCTTGTTGCAGCACCCAATGAGGTTAGGTTCAAAAACCTGGAGGACGTGTCCGCAAGCACCAGCGGGCTGACTCAAAATTTCCGCATGGCAACTGCGACAGCATAGTTTGCCTGCTCAGGTTGCATGAATGCGAAAGCTCCTAGGCAAGCGACACCTAGGCTCCGAAGTCGGCCAGGCAAGCCAGGACCGAAGAAGTCTGTACGCGGGGATGGCTCTCCGGGGTTCCGGTAGACCCTGGCTTGCAACAGGTCCTGTGCCCCACAGGATCACAAAAATTGCAAGCAATGTTGCTGTTTGAAGGGGTGCCTCTTGGCGTCCAAGCACAGCAGCATAAGCATTACCTGTGCATTTGTTGCAACAAAGGCACTCGCAATGATATTCCCTTGGTCGATTTTTTCCCCATTTGGGACCTGCGCTCTTTCGATCAGCGTGCACGTGTGATGCATTTCCCAAGTTAGACTTGTCCTGCCAAGCAGCTAATCATCCCCCTGTGTTTTTTTAATGCTTATGCACATGACCGGAACGATGTTTCTTGGGTTCCGTTTTAGTTTGCACAGCTCGACGGCCAATCAGCCCCTTCATAATCTCCGCGAGGCTTCCCAAAAGCACTCGACCACTTTGTGCTAAATAGCCGCACATGCATATTCATGTTGTTTGCGATTTGCGATGTTGTTTTCATTTGTTTCTGCGTTTTGTGCAAACTAGCCCGTATATTTTCTATTATTTCTGGAAATCCAGAAACCACGCGAATGTGTGTTTGATTTTGCGATGTTTTTGCTGACACCCCAACTAACACTCAATGACGCGCGGTGATTTTTGCTCATCGATCCGAGGTCTGAGGATGGACGCCTGTCTTTGGAGCCTTGGCGACGCAAGCCTGGCACCTTACACATTGCGTGTTGTGTGAGAACCCATGCTCCATCCACATAGATCTATACTTGTATATATTTGTAAATTTGTTTATGTGTGTAGTTGCTCAGCCATGTATGTATGTATGTATGGTTTGTTTTTTTTGGTTTTGTTGTTTATGTATGTATTTGATTGATTGAGTTGCTGGATTGATTTGATGGATTGATTGATTGGTCGGTTGATTGATGAATTGGATGGATGGATCGATGGATTGAGTGAGTGAATGAGTGAGTGAGGCTTGATCGATCGATCGATTGATTGATTGATTGGTTGATTGGTTGGTCGGTCGATCGATCGATCGATTTATTTGTCGAATGTGTTGTTTATTTATATACCAATTGTATCGCTTAGTTTGGTTTATATGATGTCGTTTGGTTTATTGAATTTATCAGTATGGTCTTATTATTTGTTGTTTTTCTGTTTCTTTCGGTGGCCTCAGGATGTGCCTAAACATGTTAAAACCCAGTGTTTGCTCGAATTATATTCCTTGGGTGTTTGGCCCTTGCGGGAGTATACAAAAGTTTCTCTTGGACCAGCTCTTGTAATTTGCTAGTCATGTTTCCTTGGCTTGATTTTTGTCTTGCAATTGCGCCAGTCTGGAACAAGCAGGTGACAGAGCAGCCCATATCTCGGAAAGCCGGCAGGCGCTTGAAAACGTTTGCCCCCAGCTGTGCAGCTTGTGTTAGCTCGCTTTCCACAACGATTGCCCTGCATTTGTCTCTTGGATTTGATGTGACTCTTCCTTTAAGGCTGGCAGAGGCTGGACTCGCAAAACATCCAGCGACACTACACCAATTCCCAGGCTTCCCTCCTGGATTGTGTCCATCCACAGTAGGGATCTTAGAGCCTCTTGCGTCGCTTGCACTCAAAGCTATCTCAGGACTTGACCGTAGACCAGCCGCTTGGGGAGTGGCATGTGCCACTTGGCGAAGTCGGGGGGCGAGGCTTGGCCTCATGTGTGGTGAGTCAGATTCAACACGGGCGAAATCCGAAACCAAAGCGAGGGGTACCCTCCCACCAATTACCATGGAACCTGATGTTCGGGGAGTTCCTGGAGGATCAGTTTCCTTGTAACGGGGCCTCCTGTCAGGTTCCATGTTAATTGGTGGGCGGGTAAATGTAGGATGTAACAGTTCCCTTCATGTTGGTTAAGCAACATGGATGATCAAATGTGCACTGGTAACTTGTACCATTTACTTTTGTCCAGGGCTTGACTGTGAGCCGTGGGTAAGGTGACCCCTTTGTGCGCGCCACGTCGGATCTTCTTGTGGATGGCAGGGCCTGCATTGGCCCAACAACTTCCATCGAGCCTCGAAAAGGGACCGACTTCGAAAGGAAGCCTTCCATCCATCAGTTGCCCCTGCGCCTCGTTCCATTTTGCCTGGAGCAACACGCAAAGTCATATATCCGTCTACATGGATGTTCTGGGGCAGGTCTTGCATACCGATGCTCAGAGACTCAATACACTTCTCCTGGTTCTCCCCAACTTCTGGTTCCCAAGCACATTTGACCGCACCGGTGCAAAGGGAAACCAACAGCAAGCCCGTAGACTCCTTTGTTTGGCGGACTCCATGTCCAATTTCCGCTCACGAAGCCCATGTGGCTGTGGGTCCAAACCCTGTACCCCTGGTGAAGGTGGCAAATGGATGTTCATCCACCCCAAAATGGGATCGCCATAGGTTGTGCCCCACAGCCATGTGTCTTCTATGCCATCAGGGCATAGGAATGCCCCGGGTACCGAGGCTTTGGTTCCAGAGCCTTTGGCAGTGGGCGCCGCTGCCCGCCACGGAGACTCTGCCTCCGCCCATGGAGGATGCCATGGCTGCTTCAGTGCTATCCCCATGGCCTGCTCAGCGTGGATGTTAGTTGGAGGGCTATTTTTTTCAGATGTTGTCCTGCTTTTTCTTCAGGTTTCTTCCTGGATGCCCTTCCCCAATTTAAATGTGGCCGCCCTGGAGAAACAAAACTTACGGCTAGTGGGTTGGATCTTTAGACTTGAACTTTTTGGTTAGAATTGTGGTGTTTTCCACTAAACCCTCAAAAAGTTAAACTTTTTGGAGGGGGGTCAACAGCAACCAAGCATTTATGTGACCCACAAGGGCTGTGGGAAAGCGAACCTCCCCCTGGTGAAGAACCATAGGCATCGAGCGAGGCCGATCGGCCGGTAGCGAGGCTATTCCCACTTCAGGTGATGTGTCAAGCAAAACATCTCGGAAACTGGAGGTCTAGTGAGCCTAGTCGGTGCGTTTCTGGAACCTCGGTTTTCATTTCCTCCTTTGCCAGGAGGGTGACGACTGGGCCAGCGGTTTGGAGGCGGGTCGATGTTCACTCACAACGTGCTCCTTATTTGGGAGGAGGAGGGATCCGTCCAGGGCAATTGGAAGCGGAGCCCCCTGAGAAGTGATTGGAGGACATCCTAAATGATGTCCGCCAAAGGGTCCCTTGTGAAAAATAATACCCATGTTTGGTCTTTTGCCGGGTTTAGCCTCGGTCGCCGGGGTGTCCTCAGACGGCTTTTGGATCAATGCGAATGCGCCAGGCCACAGCGCTGCGGTGCATCAAATGGTGGCTGCGGCGCCGGAACATCCCCGTGTCCAAGGCGCGGACCCGACGTTTTCCTCGGTGCATTTTGCTTGGTGTTAATTCGGACTTCAACTTTTTGCCAACTAGTGGGTTTTCCATCAAACCACTTAAAAGTTAAGCCTTTAGCAGAGCAGAAAGCAACCGCGTTTTCATGGAGGAGTTTTTTTTTTTTCCGCGAGTGGGGTTCTAAGAAACCGGCGCCGGCCCAAGATTCTTACGAAGTCAGCTCGACTTTCTGTGGCTTGGCGAACTTGGAATTCTGGAGGTTTCACAATTGGTTTGAACCACACTTTGAAAAGGAGCATGAAGTAAGGCTACACATATATATATATATATATCCATATATATATATATAATATCATACATATATATATATATATATATATATGCACACAACTTGCAGAGTCTCAGCAGGGAATGAGGGAATGACCCCCTAATAAACCGTCCCCTATGGTTTTTCCTTCGAGGGAATCCCTAGGTTCATTCCCAACACAGGGAAGGTCATCCCTACTGAGCACAAGCAAGGCTAAAAGGTTTTGAGCATGTTCCAACTCGTGGTTTTCCTTGGGCAGGAGTTCATGAGGTCCCCCAAGTTGTTTCATGGTGCCCTTGTTTTCTGTTCTTCCAGCCAAGCTTTGCGTCTTTTTTTGATGGGGCGTCGCTTTGCTTTTTTTTCAAACTGGTTTTGTTTGGATGGCCCCTGGGCAGCTCCGAGCGGCATCCTTCTGATAGTTTCCCCCCCTATCAGCAACTCGGCCCGCGAAAAGGGTAAGGGCCATGCGAACCAGTCCCGAACGTTCCGGCCGGATCCTCCACATCTGGTCATCCGGCCCTGCGCTGGCGAGGAGGGCGGCTATCCCACGGTGGTGTGGACGCTGATGGTGCTGCATGCCCTTTCGTATGCAAGAACTCGACTGGACAAAGCTGACGGGGTCTGGATTTTAGTGGGGCGGTGTCACGTAACATGACGCAGAGAAGCCCCCTCGAGGAGGAAAGAGTTCCCTCCCAGTCATAGTAGATGTATGTGATGAACAGCAGATTCATATATGTTTGTTGGCCAACTCACTTGGCGTGTAAGTTTTCAAGAAAGGGATGGCAGAATGGTGACTGGCCTCCTTGGAAGACACGCAACATGCCACAGCAAAAGCCACTGTCTGTGGCAAGCTGGCACATCCCTTATTGCAATTCGAGCTGGAGATGTGAATATCCCATCACTGTCTTCACTTTGAATCCAATCCCTAGTCAGACTGACCCTAAAGATAATGCAAGGATGTGCCAAATACTGTGAGGACCGACAACATGTTTTTTGGTTGAACCGCTTGCTTGCAGGGCCCAAGGCTGCTTGTTTGACATCTGCCGCGGGTTGGAATGGTGCTGGTGCGGACTTTTGGTTAGGTAGGCTTCCCGTTTTAAGTGGATGTTTGCCTTTTTTCACTGGGATTTCTGTTTGTAAGGCGGGTTTCCCCACGTCGTGGTGGGCAGGCAAGACTGGCCAGGAACCTCACATCATTCTTGTTGGGCCTTTCACCATTCCGACTGTGGCTGGAGGATGGCATCGAAAACCACGGATGGCGAGCGGCGGTTGAAAGGACGGTCTTTATGGGCATACGTTTGAAGTTTCTTCAAGCAGCCAACTAAAAGTCAAGCTTTTGGAGGGAAAAAGACTAATTTGTATGTGTTGTTTCCCCTTTACTGCTCTGGTCGGAGCGTTTGTTTACTTCCCAGCTCTGAGATGTGTTTCGTCTTGACTCATTTGGTTTCACTTGCTGTTTTTTGGTCTACTCGGTGACGAATAGAGGGACTCCCTGAAGGTCTAGAAACCAAGCCGCGAACCGAAGTGTGGAAAGCTGCTCCAAAAGCTGACCCCTGAGTCCTCGTTGCCAATTCGGGGGCCCTTTTTTTCGGGTTCAGTCCGAAGGCGAAAAACATGACATCAAAATACAAGCCTCTCGTTGTGTGACTCCCTTTGCGTCTTTTGGTTGAGGCTGGTGAATTCGAGTACTGTTGACCCGTTTTGTTTTTTGAACCGGTTGATTAATAGGGGGTGTGCCCTGGTAATTAGTTGGGGCTCATCACTGGAGGGAACACCCCCTGTTAATGAAGTGGACGGGCTTCACGAATCCGGGGTCGACGGCTCACTTCGCCGAGGTTCTGAGGTGTTCCGTCTTTGTGGACGAGTCCAAGAAGGCGCGCTTCGAACTTCAGCCCTGAAAGGTAAGATGCAACGGTGGCGACCGTGTTGAAGGGAAGCCTTGCCCCTGGCGTTTAGATGAAACGTTGTGGAGAAAATTCAGCGGAGGTTTCTCCCAAAAGCGAGGGGCTGCGTGAAAAAGTGGAAATCCACTTATGTTCGATTGCTCGTGATCCTTCATTTTGGGTGGCTGCAACGGTCAGCAAGTCGCAATATCCCTGTTCACCATTGTCACCAGAGTTTTTCTTTCACAGCTTTGGCACGTCCGAAGAATGAAGGGGCCAAGTTGGAAAGTTGAATTGGCTGCCGGCTGCAGCCCAGAGCGGATTAGAACCAGGACCTTTCGCACGTATTCGATTGGGCATAGATTCCGCCATTCGCATTGCACAATCAACAGGATGCCGCTTTGCTGGACCCCTTTTTGACAATTTTTACCAAGCCTGGGGGCAATAGCTCCCTTCAGGTGGAAGGTGGAAGTTACCGCTGTCAGCTTGGCTGGTATTTTTCCTGATTTAGGGTAGGGCCAGATGCAGCTTCTGGCCCATCCGTCGTTGCAAGGCCCTTGGCCACCTGATGTTCTTGAATCCCTGATTTTGAGAACAACATAAAATCTGGGGGACAAAATTGGCGGTGATCCTTTTGTTCCCCTCTTGAAGTGGGTTAATCAAAGGGACTCCCACAGGCAAGCCACCGTTTGGCCCCCCTCCCCATTTTGACAGATGGCTGTGGCTCAACAAAAGTGGAACCCATGTTTGGGCTCCTTGGATGGAAACAAAGACCAAAACCTGCATAACCCAGCCCTTAAATTTTGAGCCAACATCCAGATGACCATTTGAAGTGTAAGTTTCCGCATGTCACTTGACCCCTTTTCGCCAGCACGGCAACCGGGCGCTGCTGGGGGCCATCGCTGCCTTCTTCGACCGCTTCGCGTCCGAGCGCTCTGGGGGCACGCTGAGCTTCTGCATGGGCCCAGCGCCTCATTTGAAGGTGCTTGCTAGGCTGTCTTTAAATGCAATCCGCAAGATCCTCTCCTCGGGTTGCGTAAGGAACCGGTCCCCTTAGGTCCCTGTTGAACTGTTTGCTTGCAGGGGTTAAGGATGGCTTGGAGTTTGAACGGGTCGCTTCTTGTCTGTCATGTATAGATCACAAGTGCACAAGTTGTGTTGGTTTGTTCGTTTGTCGGGCAGGGAGGGGGGTCCCGATTGTTGCTTGAGGAATTTGAAGCAGTGAGACCCTCACAAGGATGCTGGGTCCATTAAAGTGACGCTCTCAAGTTTCCAGAAGATGCCGAGAGGAAGTTCCTCCTCAGCGGATTTGTTTCGAAACCTCAACAAACTCGAGCCCCACTCACCACCAAAGGTCACGTCAACCCCCCCCCTAAAAAGAACAAATGAAACAAATGAACCCAGCCCCACATGCAAGTCGCAGTTTGCCCACCAAAAAGTATGCGGTACACTTGCTTTCTTGGACCCAGGCAAGACTTGCCTCCTGGACACATGCTATTGTTTCCTGGCGGGAGAGATTCACAGTCTCAGTGGAACTGTTGGGGGGAGACATCTCAGGATGGGATGAGCTCAGCGTTCCACCCACAGTACGAGGCTGGCGAGGGTTCTTTTTCGACACGGGCTGGTTGCGTGTCGAAAGGGGTCCTGATAGTGTTGATGGGGACTGGTTGAACCAAGGTTTCGAAAGAACATCCACATGAAACAAAGGGCTTGATTGAAGAAAGGGAATTCGACCACCAAGCACATATGCTTTTGAGGCCCCACAGCATTTTAATCCCTGTTATGAGGAACACCGAGTCTCCATTATTCCTGAGGACCCAGGATCCTTAGGGTGACGTGTTAGCATCTTCCACAACGTTACCCTCTGGATTTGAGGGCAAAGTGGCAAAGGATAATACACAATCCCCCGGTTGACTGGTAGCGGCCAATTTGGGAGGGGATCCTTCAGCATGCAGATTTGTGTTGGCACAAGGCCATGTCCTTCCGCTTTGCCACTAAAAGATCTCTCCGGCATGCGGGAACAGAGCCCGCCAAGCACTTAACTCATGACCCCACCGGAACAAGAGTTGTCTTTTCATGAACAAAAACAAGGAATTTCTCATTTGTTGACTGGCGCGTCCTCGCAATCTTTCCAGGCAGGTATGACAGATTCATACGGCAATCCTTGTGTCTCATCGGGTTGTTGGGTCCATGAGAGTGGGAGACATCAAGAGCCTCGAGGCTTCTCGCGCCTTCCGAATGGCCCAACAAATCACGGCATTTTGGCTTTCCTCGGAAGGGGGTGAAGAACCTGGAGCTTCATCTCACTTGCTCCAATCTGACCAGTTTCCCCTTTTCTGTCGAATCATGCGCGATGCCAATCGTCTCTGCGGCTCCAGGTTGTTTTGCCAAGTGAGTGATTCGTGTGAAGAGCGTGGTGATTGCCATCCCTGCCGAAACCAAGCACGCAGGAGCCGCATTTGCGCTACACCTCCGAGAGCTATGGCTGCTTGGTCCACAAGGATTTGTCTGGAGCCATGCCACTTGATGGGAGGTATCCCCCCTGTTGATCCGCCAGGTTCCAAAAGAAAATCCGAGCACGTCACGTGGTTTCGCAGGACCAAGCCCTACACGCAAAAGCACAGGCCTGAAGGCTTTTTGGAGCCCCAGCCTTGCGACCTCGAGGCCTGGGGCGTTTACGTCAGCCCAACCTCTATGGCGATTTGGTTGGATCAGATCTTTCGACTTCCACTCTTTGGGTTGAAAGCCGGGCCGGATTTTCCGTTGGACCCATCACAAGGTCGAAGACTACTTGCAGAGAGCTCTCGCCAGCAGCACCCAAGCAACGAGCCAGCCATGAGGCGCGCTGTCGGTGCTGGATCCCACCACCACCTGCGAGCAGAGCATCGCCTGGGGCGTCATGCCCTCGGACCTTGCGCCGCCCTTGCCGCCGGCCACCCGCGTCTCGGTCTGAGTCCGGCTGGGACCTGGGTCGCTGGACCGCCCGGGGGGTCTGGCTTTCCATGGCAGAAGCCTGCGAAGTCTGGTTTGAGGGGTTGACCACCAGCCATGAAACCAAGCAAAGGAAGGACGGTATCTTTTTGGAAGCTTTGGTGTTGGATGGTTGGCCTGTCCTTCAAATTCATGGGATTCCAAATCGGCACTTCCCCGAAGCAAAGGCACGGGTGTAAGATGGTGTAAGGAAGAGCTGTTGAGCCCTTTCTGGTGCAAGATGCTGCCACCAACCCGTGGCAAACATGCAGAAACACGGATTTAGGTATGGGGAAGTAGTCTTGAAGTAGTCCCTCCTTCCAGGCCTATCTCAGAAACTGTTTGCTTTCCTTGAGGGCGCATTTGCTCAATTGCCTCGAGGACCTGCACAGGAATTGCTTCAACCTTTTCGAGGAATGGCCATGCAAAACCGGGGCAAGGCGATTGCCCGCATAGACCCCTTCGCCCAAGCAACCACACATACGGCACTTCAGCCAGGTAACGATTATTTGCCCCCATAGATTTGTTTTGCGAGGTCCCCAAAACCCACAATGCACACTTGGAGAAGGCGGGAAGCCAACAGCCCCTGGGTTTTTCTAGTGAGGTGCCGCTCCAGGCGAGGGGGGCGGTTTGGAGCAAGGATCTGCCCGCAGACGAACATAATTTTGTAGAGCAATCTTGTGGAGGGCCCCCCGCCTTGTGGGTTGCAGGTGGCTCAAAATCCAATCAGACCCAAGGCTTCAAGGCTTCAAGGGGCAGGCACACGTCTACCCTGCAAACCTTCAGAGCAAGAACGCCAAAGACTTTTTTGGTATAGCACGGAGAAAAACGCACGGACCGCCTTGCTTGCATATTCTGAGGTTCACCAAGACATGGAACCACCCTCATTCCTATCCCTCCACTCCTGGTGGTCCTTGGGGCGGTAGTTCGGCTCCAACAAATGGCTGTGGGCCAAACATATGTACCCCAAATGCAACCCTTGGAAAAGATGAACCAACACCTGGACTGCCCTGGTGGTTTGATTTTGACTTACTACAAAATACCCAATCACCAAATCACCAATGATGGTTTCCAATACCCAAATCACTCCACCCCGACGCCTCCGGGCCGCACGTATCCGCCCGGGCGCGCCGACTGCCCGACGCGCGAGGCCTGCTGCACAGCTACGAGCTGCGCCGCGCGCAGCGGCTCTCGGCGCAGGTGCTCAGTGCGCAGCGCGAAGTTGGCGACGGGGGCGGCCAGGCGCTGGAGGAGCCGAATCCGAAGCGAGCAATCCGGAAGAAAAAACAACTAGAATACGGGTGGCCCGAAAGCATTTTCCATGACACGCAGCCTGAATCGGTCCATATTTCCATCTATGCATTTCATTGTCTACTCTGTGCATGCCTCTACGCATCTCACTGTCTACTTTCCCTGCGCATGCATCTCTGCACTTCACACTCTGTACTTGCCTTCTGCGCGCCTCTGTGCATTTAACTGTCTACTTTCCCTGTGCCTGCTCTATCATTTCACTGTCTACTCTGTGCATGCCTCTACGCATCTCACTGTCTACTTTCCCTGCGCATGCATTTCTTGCACTTCACTCTGTACTTGCCTTCTGCGAGCCTCTGTTCATTTCACTGTCTACTTTCCCTGTGCCTGCCTCTATGCATTTCACTGTCTACTCTGTGCATGCCTCTACGCATCTCACTGTCTACTTTCCCTGCGCATGCATCTCTGCACTTCACTCTGTACTTGCCTTCTGCGAGCCTCTATGCATTTCACTGTCTACTTTCCCTGTGCCTGCCTCTATGCATTTCATTGTCTACTCTGTGCATGCCTCTACGCATCTCACTGTCTACTTTCCCTGCGCATGCATTTCTTGCACTTCACTCTGTACTTGCCTTCTGCGAGCCTCTATGCATTTCACTGTGTACTTTCCCTGTGCCTGCCTCTATCATTTCACTGTCTACTCTGTGCATGCCTCTACGCATCTCACTGTCTACTTTCCCTGCGCATGCATCTCTGCACTTCACTCTGTACTTGCCTTCTGCGAGCCTCTATGCATTTCACTGTCTACTTTCCCTGTGCCTGCCTCTATGCATTTCATTGTCTACTCTGTGCATGCCTCTACGCATCTCACTGTCTACTTTCCCTGCGCATGCATCTCTGCACTTCACTCTGTACTTGCCTTCTGCGAGCCTCTGTGCATTTTTCACTGTCTACTTGCCCTGTGCCTGCCTCCATCATTTCACTGTCTACTCTGTGCATGCCTCTACGCATCTTACTGTCTACTTTCCCTGCGCATGCATCTCTGCACTTCACTCTGTACTTGCCTTCTGCGAGCCTCTGTGCATTTAACTGTCTACTTTCCCTGTGCCTGCCTCTTCATTTCACTGTCTACTCTGTGCATGCCTCTACGCATCTCACTGTCTACTTTCCCTGCGCATGCATTCTGCACTTCACTCTGTACTTGCCTTCTGCGAGCCTCTGTGCATTTCACTGTCTACTTTCCCTGTGCCTGCCTCTATGCATTTCACTGTCTGCTCTGTGCATGCCTCTACGCATCTCACTGTCTACTCTCCCTGCACATGCATCTCTGCACTTCACTCTGTACTTGCCTTCTGCGAGCCTCTGTGCATTTCACTGTCTACTTTCCCTGTGCCTGCCTCTATGCATTTCACTGGCTCTGTGCACTGCCTCTACGCATCTCACTGTCTACCTCTCCCTGCACATGTCTACTCTCCCTGCACATGCATCTCTGCACTTCACTCTGTACTTGCCTTCTGCGAGCCTCTGTGCATTTCACTGTCTACTTTCCCTGTGCCTGCCTCTATGCATTTCACTGTCTGCTCTGTGCATGCCTCTACGCATCTCACTGTCTACTCTCCCTGCACATGCATCTCTGCACTTCACTCTGTACTTGCCTTCTGCGAGCCTCTGTGCATTTCACTGTCTACTTTCCCTGTGCCTGCCTCTATGCATTTCACTGTCTGCTCTGTGCATGCCTCTACGCATCTCACTGTCTACTTTCCCTGCGCATGCATCTCTGCACCTCAGTCTGTATTTGCCTTCTGCGAGCCTCTATGCATTTTTACTGTCTACTTTCCCTTTGCATGCCTCTATGCATTTCAGTCTTTTTTCCCGTGCATGCATCTATGCGCTCTGTACTTGCCCTACGCATGCCTCTATGGACTTCACTGTCTACTTGCCCTGCGCAGGCCTCCAGGCATTTCACTGTCTACTTTCCCTGTGCATGCCTCTATGCATTTCAGTCTACTTTTCCTGCATCCACGCACTTCACCCTGTACTTGCCCACAGTCTACTCTGTGCATGCCTCTATGCATTTCATTGCCTGCTTTCGCTGTTCATGCCTCTATGCATTTGACTGTCTACTTTCCCTGTGCCTGCATCTATGCATTTCACTCTGTACTTGCCCTATGCATGCCTGTATAGCTTTGATGGTCCCTCATCATTTTTGCAGATTGGGGGGAGTAATCCCTTTTCAATGGCATTAACCCGATGCACACCCCACACCCAGCTTTTTACGCGTACCTGCAGTGCCCATTGCTTGCCTCTGTGTATGGGGCCAACCTCAAGTAGCCAAGGATTTTTTCCCCATTTCGCGCTAACCATGGGTGGCCAAGATCTTACACAGCACCGGATTGAAAGGTAGGATGCCTGAGTAGGCAAGAACGAGTCTTCTTCCTCAGGACCTCTTCACAGAGACCAGCACGGCATGCAACACCATGCCGGCCGCCATGCCCAGCCACACGCTTGGAGCGGCTCGTTGACAACTTGGCCTTGCCGAGGGAAAAAGCCGAGGGTCAAGGGTTTTTGCATTGCACCCTGGGAATGCACCCACTGGGTATTGACCCCATTTAGGCACATTTCCGAATAAAACCTTCTGGGTCATTTCCCAAGGGTGTAATCCCAGGGTGTAATACAAAAACCCTCAGAGAGGGGCAAATCTGAAGACATTATGTTGGGTGTACCCCAGGTTTGGGCCAATATGTGTTTTGGAGTTGCGAACATTTGGTTACGTTTGAATCATGCTTAGTCCAAATATATCATTTTGCCTGCTAAACGTTGGTTAGATTTGAGGCAGCAAGAGCGTGATTGACAGAAGCTGAATTTGCTTTAGGCCGCGCTTTTTTTTTACCAACACAGTGCATGGTTTTCTTGCGTCTACCCCCAAGCTTGGGATTGTTCAAATGGGCAACTCATGGAGAATCTTTTGAGTACTTTCTCCCCTGCAAACAGTGCAGCCAGTTTGCGGGATTTGCCCTGCAGACAACTTATCAGGCACTCCCAGGTGTTTTGGATTGGTTTGGGATTTGAACCCCTGGTTGATGAAAAAAAAAAAAACCTTCCTATCCAAACCAGACCACCAATCCAAGCCACCGACTAGGAGGCTGAAAATGCTCACCGTAGGTGATGGTCCTGCGCGATGGGGAGTTGTCTGTGGGCCTTCTCACGAAGGCGATGCTCGGAATCGGATCGTCGCGTCGTGTGCGGGGAGGTGCACTTGGGTTCGTTGTGTTTGAGGCTTGGTATGCTTTTCCAGGTTGGCCAGGTCCCCCAGTAGTGCCCTTTTACCAACTTTTTGGGGGAGAGTTCCCCTGCTAAAATGGACTACCTGGAGGACCTAGTTGGCTGAAAGCGAAACACAATATAGGGATTCATATCTTGAAGGTGGTGAATTGTCATTTGCCCACATGCATGGAGGGCAGACCTGCACTACGTACACCATATTGGGGACCTTCAGATTCCAGAAATTGTCCAAAGGCATAGTATCTAGGTCCCGCAGTAGTGCCCTTTGACCCCTTTTTTGGTGGAGGGTTCCCCTACTAAAATAGACCGACCCTTATTCTAGCCTCGCAAAACTGGAGGACCTAGATATGGATATTTAGTTTGTGGGCGCAGATCCCAAATTGGATCCGGCGCCTTCGGAGGTGTGGCCGAAACCCGGCTGGACGGCGCCCTTCCTGCACCGCCGGGACACGCACAGCGCCTTCTGCTTGCAGCTTTGCGAGGCGCGGGCTCGCGCGGCGTGTGTTGCGAAGCGGCCTTGGCAAGGGGTTGCGTTGTTGTGGTTGTCTTTGTTTCCCCCTCGCTTCCGGAGTTCGTAGGTTTTTGTTCTTTTGGGATGAGCATTTTAGTTGTACAATGTAAAGTTTGGACTTTTTTTGGGCCAATCCACTCGGAAGTAAGTGAGTTTCCAGTTGTTCGAGGGGTTGCAAACCCGAGAATTGACAACCCCTAGTTAGAAAGTCAGCGGACAAATGAAAGCGGGATCAGATAGACTTCATGCAGCCGTTTCGTAAAATGTTCTTATGCTCGGATGAGCCGGGGCCGTCCTGACCCTTGCGATGCATTGCCCTGAATGGGTACATTGCCATTGGTAGAGTGTCAAAGGGAGACCTGGTGTCAGCGTTAGTGTCGGCGACCTTGCGGGGATCGCGTCCGGATAAGGATCCAGATCGACTTGGATGGTGGAATGGGGATTCAGGTTGCTATCCATTACCCGCGCACCAACCACCACGGAAGTGCACAAAGTCCCTCCAAAAGGAGGTGGTGCTCTGTGCACCTCCATGTTTGCTCGTATGTGAGAGTGCTCCGAGTGGAGGGATTATGTTCTCACCTCAGCATGGCGCTGAGGGTTGGTGTTTAGACGACTGTTTGTTGTTCTCTATCTTTGCAAGGAAGTCCTTTGTGGATGACTGAAGGGGGGGGCTTGGGTTTGCTTCAAGCTATTGACCTTCCTAAGGCTTCAGAGTCCTGTAAGCAGCTGTCGCTCGGATCGAGTGGCATCCATTCGGATGGGCGGCTTGCCAGGTGCGGTGTGATGGTCTTCTGACACCCTGGGAGTCCATGGTGAAGCAGCATTGGCCGCGGAGACCGCATGGAGTGATCTTAGCCCCAACTCCACGCACCCGGCCTAAGCCAAGCTACCACCCAAAGCATACAAGCTGACCCTCGCGCAAGCCAATTCTGAGTAAGGTTTGCGTCTTTTCCTGATCATTGCCAGCCGGGATTAGCTACTTATGTGGTTCGCGGCAGCGGGTTTGTAGGAGTTTCCATGCGGCTACCGTGCGTCCCGTTGGTTGCTTGTTTGGTTGGTTGGTTGGTCTGGGATTCAAACTTGTGATCCAGCGTTGCCTGCGGTCGGCTTACCCAGACTTCCCTGAAGCTGCCGTGAGGTTCAAAGCCTGCGACTTCGTGTGCTTGGCTGGACTTCAGCCAATGGTCACGCGAGGCCAGTCGCCTGTTGCTTGTCAGCCGCTGTTTTCTCAAGGGGCGACAAAAGGCCAAGTGAGCCGGAGCCGACACACCCGCTGCATGTGAAGGGCGAGTTTCTGATGTTGACCCAATTCCAGACCTCCAAAACCGGCTGCCCAAAGAGGCTACTACCCCTTTTGGGCCAAGTTGGTTTCAGCATGTTTCAGTCAGCACCTGGGCAAAATTGGTTTCAGCATCGTTCACCGCCTTGGCTGGAATCTGATGTTTCGGCCTGTCCAAGGCATCGATCACCCCGACTCGCATCACCCCGCCCTCGTTTCTGCCCGAAAAGTTGCCAGGGCAGTGCCGCGGCAAGTACCTGCGCCGGGAGAGAAACCGCTGGAAGCTGGATCCCGAAAGCCGGGAGCTCCGGGCGTGTGATGGGGATTCGGGGATACCACCTGGGACCTGTGGCTGGCTTTTCAGCGAAAGGAAGCCTAAAGAGAATGGATCATAGTCCGGGCCGGCGTCCTTTTCAGCTTAGTTTGGTTAGAGCTGGGTTTTTAAGTCTGGTGTCATTCCATTTGCCCGGGCCATCCATTTTTCCAAAGGGTCACCTACTGGCACCACTTGGCAACCATGGAAAATCATGGTTTGTCGGTATTTACCAGGGAATCAAATCATGCCGATTCTTAGGTGGTGCGTTTTATGGATTTGGCCCACAGTATCACAGGGCATGGGTCAGCCCCCAGGAACAAAAAAACCTAACCCGCTGTGGCAAGGCCTGGAGAGATGGCACCAGATGTACGAGCTCCTCGCACAGGACGGGTGGGCTTTTTTTCGGGGCGTTGGATTTGGTTGGGTGCTACATGGCACCCATCCTTTGGTTGGCTTGTCCAACTAGGTCCCCCAGTGCCCTTTCTCACCGCTTCTTTTTGGGGGAGGGTTCCCCTACTAAAATAGACTACTGAAAAAAATCGGGTACCCTTATTCTAACCTCTCTACTGGAGGACCTGAGAAGCCAAAAAGGGTATGGGTATGGTGGCCGCTTGCAGGGGAGTTCTTCTTGACGAACTGATGCAAATAGCCCAGAGAGGCATGTCTTGGAAACGTCCCAAAGTCAACCAGCCAAAAAAGTAGGGTGCCCTTGTTTTCCCTCTGGTCACTTGAGGTTTGAGATTTTTGACGCGGTCTCGCCAACCCAGCCCAGAATCTTAAACACCGGATCGGGGTACAGGGAGCTTATCCTGGCTCACCGGAGGCCAACAAAGCAAGGCAGAAAAACACCAAAAATTGGGTTTCTTCATTCATGTCGGCGTTTCCGGATCCAATCAGTTAGACAGGTGAGTTTGCAGACATTCTAACTTCCGTTCCTTGCGTCCTAGCTGGCAGAAACATGGGCCAACCAATGGATGCGCCAACCAATTGAAGGCTCAGCTGGCCCCCGAAATAGGAAGAACCCTGCTTTTGCTGGTCTCAAATTATGCGCCCCACTGACTGAATCTGATAGCTATTATAGCTGCACTTAAGTTAAGTCCAGCATTTCTTCGGACTTCCCGGGTTTTTGCGGCAGGATCATAACCCGAGCAAGCATAGCGAGCTTGCCGGGTAACCCAAATTCACCCATGAGGAAGGCCCTCTGGGTTGGGATTCCTTGGTCAATCACAGTTCGTGCATGAGCTGGCAAGTTAAGTCAAGGGATGGGCTCACCTGGGAGCCTGAGATTCCACTCTATTCGACAGGGTCAAGCGGTTGGAAGCCAAAACCGCGGGCAAGGAGTCGGGAGGTTTTTTGTTGTCGCCGCGCAGGCGGGCGAGCAGCATTGAGAACTGCGACGAAAACGACTTGACCTAAAAAAGACCGGAAAAAATGAAAAAAGAAAGAAAAATAGAGCGCGCGCAGAAGGCAAGCTTCTGCTGTAGAACGCCTGCGAAAAAATCTTCCAAAAAATTAAAGATGCAAAGCTGCCAGGTGACAACTCACAAAAGCCCAGCCAGAATAGAGCAATGATTGCGTGCAGCAACTGAAGGCAAATGAAAAGTTTGGACTCTTTGGGCCAATCCACTCAGGAAGTGAGGTGTCAGGGTTTTTGGGACAGTTGGGTTCATGAGCTGCGCGCCAAAAACTCAGGGTGCATGACCCAGTCTTGCTTCCCCCTTGGGAAGCAACATGACAGCAGACTGAATTTTCCAGGGATTCGGACTGATCAGAAATTCCTTTTCGCAACGGGCAGAGCTTATTCCCTTTAAAGAGGTTCTATCTGCGTGAGTCGACACCTAGGCAGCAGCTGAGAAACACCAAGCAAGGGTAGCAGCCGGCATGTCCAAAAGGACGAAAGTAGGGACTTGACCAACGAGAGATCATGTCCAACCGCGGTAGGGCACAAAGGCTCGGGAGTCTTTCGGGTATAACGAGAGCTGGCGTTGCTACCCTGGACGAAGCCCTGGCGGCACAGGGGGCTCCGTTCTGCTTGTAACTCAGCGAAATGATTTCTCCCTCTTGGGATATGGCGCATCCCGCTACACTACATGAAAGACCGCGTCTTGCAGAGAGCGGTCAGGGAAATAAGCCCACCTGCATGTTTGCACAATTACCATGCGCTGATTTCTCTATTTGGCTAGTTGTTATGCATGTGTTTAGTTGTTTGTTTGTTTTTTTCCTGGTGCAGGCCGGCTGAAGTGAACCGAAACAGGTCATCCATGTATGGGAGAGGGATATATGGAGCCCTTTCGGCTTGATCGATGTGACTTGTCTCCAGCGGGCACTCGCCAAGATGGATCAACATGGGGTGTTTCATTGCGGTTTCCCCGAAAAGCACGACCCCCAAAACGGATACCAGCTAAAAACATACACCCGGAAGCTTGGTTTGATTCGCCGCTGAAGCAACGCCCAGAATAGCACCATTAATTATCTTTCCTTTGGACGCCTGCGGAGCAACCTGAAACGGTTTCATCACTAGGGCGCACGCCATATATACGTAGGTAGCGGGATGTGAGGAACAGAGTCGGCAGCAGTGGGCGACCGGTGCCAGACTCAAAGTTCTGCGTCGAAGGTTTGTGAGCCAAAGGTGGCTTGTGTTTTTTTTTCCCGCAACAACTTGAAGCAATTGTTCGTGGCATGGGGCCAGTAAGCATGCTACACAGAATTAGCCATATGTTCCTTGTGCTTGTGCTTGTGCTGGTTGCATTTTCCATGCATCAATCAGCTGCCTTTCTCGACTCAAGACCATGATGCCATCGGCTGGCTTCCGTGGGAACGGAAGGATGGTCAGCCTGAGGTTGGTTTGGAGCAGCTGGGCAACCCATGGGCTATGAATCATCAGGTAAGCCTTAGCCATCAATCGGTGGTTTGGGGGATGTGAGCTTCTGGTTCTTGAGGGCGAATGGGACGCCTTAAGCCAAACCACCCATCCAAGCCAATCAGAACGAAGCTGAAATAAGCGAGGATTCGAAAAGTGACCTTGCCGAATTTTGTGCCATCGCAGCCGTGTGAATAGCCAACCTTTCCAACTGGCTTTCCAACAGTTTTCCTTTTTTTTTTGGGGGGGGGTAAGTTGCTTTTGCTCTGGGCAGGTGGTGAACATTTGGACTTTGCGTTTCTTCGGATTCAGTCGAAGGCTTTTACAGATAAACAACACGGCGCAAGTTCCCATTCCATTCTGGCTAATTATTATTTAAGCGAGTAGTGCCATCTACGTTTACCCTTGTATGGTGCAGTTTGCCAAATTTGCAACGAGCTTAGCCTCAGGCTGGCCAAGTTTTGCTTGTAGAGATTGCCACGGGACCTATATGCGTGTCCTTGAGGTCGATTCGAATCCTTGCGGACTTTGGGTTCTCCCCTCAAAAGCAGCCGCTGGAAGACCCTCAAAGTGGTTTCCATAGCCATCTTCCGGGGACACGTCAGTCAGGTCCCGCCTGTGTTTCGTACACCCAAGCAGACGTAACGCCCTCGGACCTTGAGCGCTTGCCTACGGCCGGACGATGGAACCGTCCGGTCGCCGAGCTCAGATCGGCCTGTGGTTCCTGGGCAGGCGTCATGCTATCTTCACTCTTCTTGGTATGTGGGCTTTTGTCCTGCCGATGTTGGGTGGGGCTGCAGCAACATGTTTTGAGGCTAACGTACCAAGGATTCGGAAGCTTTTGCACTTGGTGGCATGTTGGTTGCCTGCCACGGCCATGGAGGGCTTGTGTCAGGCAACAGCAGCCACATTTTTCGGCCCAGAAACATCCTGCGGGGATGGGGCATGGCAGCTTGTGGCGCTCCCGCTGCCCCTGTTGGTCCAGTTTTTGTGTTGACGGGGCAGCGCGGGTGCCATGGATTCCGATTCATTTTCCTCAGTGCCGGCTCCGGAAATTTGGGAGTATAAATCCCTGCCCCGACCTTCCATCTGGATCACACATACTGCAGCAAGTCGCCACATGCACGTCACGCCCAGGCAGCAGAGCGGATTCATTAGCCTGGGCTCTGGTTATTCAGGACGTGAACTCGCCTAAATACTGGTGGGCTTAGTTACAACAGGGGGGTGGTGGGGGCGTTGACCCTGGTGCTCTGTTGCACCACTTGTCTTATCGCCGTTGTGCTTACCCCGGCGTACAGGCACACGACTCCCCTTCGTGTTTTCGTCGGGTGCTAAATGATGCATATATGGCCATTAATTTTAATGAGGAACCCCCTAGAAAGTGGTTGGTGGACATAAACCCCTACCGAAATCATGTCCACCAGAGGGTCCCTAATTAAGATTCAGACCCATAAGGGTATTTGTTTTTTTCACCAAAGAGAAGCCACATCTGGATGAACCGGAAACGAACCAAGACAGGCACCCTCTGATAAGCTCGCCGGCCAAAGCTGGTAGGTCGTGGTAGGGTCTGTGCTGGCACCGGGGCCCGAAAAAGACCGCAATGAGCCCCTCGCGCGCGCTATCGCGGACTGAAAATGCTCCTTGCCACGCTGCAACCCACCCAGGTTTTGGAACACGTTCATGCTGCTGCGGCTTTGCTGGAAAAAAGGATTTACCCAACTACTTGAATGCTATTTGGTTGGATCTTTAGACTTTAAACTTTTTGGGAAATCAAGGGGTTTTCCACTAAACACGCAAAAAGTTATACTTTTTGCAGGGGGGTCAACAACAACCAAGACCAGAAGATCCGTTTGTTGCCTGGCAGTTGGGCATTTTCCTATGATTGAGACCTTTGTTCGGCCAATCCACCAGTCAGAGACGGAAACCCAACTGACCTGTTCGGGCACCAGACCCCGTTTTAGGCCCCAATCTGCTCCGAGGATTTCTCCACGGCGAAACATGCGAACCTGTCTTGCTGTTGGAACGTTCCGGGTAGCCATCCCCTATTTGATTTTGTTGGTTCTTTGGTTCTTTCCAAGTTGAGTGGGTGGCTGTCAAGCAAACTTGTTTCTGCTGCTTGCATACCAATGGTTGCGGCACTTCAACCGACAGGCACTGCGGCTGGCTGGCTGTGGCCCTCAACGTCACCCTTCATCCACTGCACGTCTAGGGGCTCAATAACGTGTTTTTGGATGTTTTAAGGATCCGTGGTGTGCCCTCGACAAACACGCAGATTGTATTATGATTGCCGTTCAAGCTTTATCTAGCTGTCATGCAGTCGTGGCTTTGTAGCAATGAGAATGGAAGCTAGCATTGGGCCCATTTGCCAAAAAAACAACACATGCCACGACACTTCTCCGCGGCTTTTTTCACCACTGGGGCGGTGGCGTTGGCTCCGCAGGCAGGAACCGGGCTCGGATCGAGAGAGGGTGTGTGAAGGGCACCTTTTGAAAATTTGGCGCTCACCTTGAGTGAAGATTGGAGAGTTTTCAGTACAGTACGTCTCTGCACTTCTCACTGGGACCCCGCTGGCTTTTCAGGTGAACCCCAGCTCCGGGTCCATGCCCAAGAGTTTCCACCGGTCCATCAAATGGTTGTTTTGGCGGGGTGTATGTGAATCTGCGGGGGAACGTGGGAAAGCACAAGTTCAACCAGGGGCGACTGCGGGCAAGCTGCGACCAAGCCAGCAGCTCAAAGCACCAATAGAGCTTGTCATAGGAGTCCTTTTTGGTTGGTTTGCTTGAAAGATAGAGGGCCCTGGTTTCTCCCGCAAACCGAGTGAGACCCGAGTGAAGCGAGTTCTGACAAAGGGGTTCCGACGGCTACCAGAGGACAATCATGCCCTTCCGAAAGGAGCCCATGGTGTAGAACTCATGTAGGGTGTCACCCAGGGACCCCGTTGAAGCGGGAGTTGGGTTCTCAGGTATTCTTCACGCTGCTGCTGTGTAGGAGGGAGGGTACTCGTCCATTTGGCAAACTTCATACGGGTGGATTGTTTTTGGGGATCTCCTGTTGGTTGGTTTCAACGGGACTCCCAAAGGAGCCAAGCTGTTTGGGGGGTTTCCCCTACTAGGCTTCAGGTGGTGCCACAACGTGCTTGCATTTCATGACGCCTCTCTAGGTTCTGGCTAAACGACAGCGGGAGTCGTATGCTTTGGAGTGCCGCACGTTCAAAAGTTCGAAGACGTGAAGGGGCCACGATGTTTGGCGGAACAGGACGCAGAAGTTAGAATATTAATATCAAGCACATGTTCATGTTCACATGTCCCCCCAAAAAGAAGACAAGACCAAGCAACACGTTTTCTCCAATAAACAATCATTGGTGGCCGACCGATCTTCCCACGTCAATGGGCGGTTGGCATGTGTTTTGTTTGTTTGTTTTTTTCCCACCCATCATCTCATTGGCAGGGGCGCTGGCCATGGGCTGCTTGGAATGCAGATGGTTAGGTGAGCAAACTATCCTAGGCTCACTCCCTGGGCTGGGCATTCACTAGGTCCCCCGGATAGGTGCCCTTCTACCGTTTCTTTTTTGGGGGGAGGGTTCCCCTACTAAAGTAGACTGCAGAAAAAAGAAAAAACAAACATCTACTGGGGGACCGAGTTAAACTGTTTGGAAAGACCGCCCGAGAACTTTGGATTGTGGTTGGCGAATCCAC